AAAACTGGCTGTTTCAATAAGCTCAGGGGCGTGGGAGATGGGGTGCAGCCTCTGTGCTGCCCTGTGCCAGGGCAGGCAGAGTCTGCAGGGCGCAGTGGGACTCGTGCCTATCGCCACGTGGCCGTGCCAGGGTCGTGGGGAGCCCTCTCTGCTGGGCTAAGCCGAACCCGGGGGGCTTCTTGGTGCTACAGGCTGTGATCAGCTGGAGCCTGGGGATCGGGTTATCCGAGGTGGGAGCAGCGAGCAGCCCGGGGCTGTGCTTGGTCAGCAGTCTTCCTTCTCCTTTCTCTCTCATGTGAGCAGGGCTGAACGGTGAGGGTCACGGTGTGCTTAGAGTGCCACAGGGCTTGGTCACTCATTCTTGGGGCAAGAGTCGCCGGCTGCAGTCCTGATCTGGGACTGGGAAGCCAAACTGCCCTGAGATGCTTCAAACTCATCACAAGCATGATATAAATAAAAGGCTACTTCAACCCACAGAGCCACCTTCCTGCCCAAATTGCCAATTTAGCTTTAGAGGCAAGGCCTTTTGGTCACTAGAAGATGCTACAGTGTGACTTGCAGAAGGGGACACCTCCCAGGCACATTTCATGACCGTGGTGCTGTGCCTGCCAGTTGGAGTTGAGGGCTCCAGCGTGCTTTCGGGGGCATCTGCACCACCTCCTAATGCTGCATCAGCTCTGTGCAAGAGATAGGGAAGACTAGATTTCTTCAGATTGCTGACCGCTTGGCTTTTAGGGCATTCTCCATCCCATCTTGTTTGTTGTAATACTACTGTCATTTTAATATTTTTAACGTTGTGACCTTTAATCCACATGGAAATTGTGGGGAATTGGAGCATGCCTGGCACTGACAGTGCTTCCAGTCCTTGCTTGAGATGTGCATGAGCAGTAGGAATCTGGTTTTTAATATGAGAAGGAAGTGCACCAGTTGGGCAACATGGAGATGTGCAGAGTGGGTCCCCGGTGATTTGAATGAGTGCAAGCTGCCGTGTATCAAACAAATTTCCAGGTTTAGAATCTGCATTCAGAGACTGAAAAGCTGTGCTAAAATATAGCATTGTTTGATTGCAGTCTTTCAAAATGTTGTGACTTTTCTGTGTGATGTAGATGACTCGCATCTCAGCTGAGACTGATTGCTTTATACCAGATACTGTGTGCATAAACAAGGATCCAGGAACTGGAGCAATGAATTTTTTTAAAAAAAAAAGGTGGGGGGGAGAGGGGAAAATAGAGGTCTGCCTTATCTTGATTGAAGATATAATAAGCATTGGGGATAAAATAACTGCCTTTGAAACTGGTGCCATGGGATCTTTTGCTTCTGCATCATAAATTTCTTTTCCTTTCCCCTGTAAAAGCCTGATCTGATTCTCTCACGGTCCTTCCAGAGACTGCAGGATTTCCAGGATAGCTAGAGTCAGGTTTTTTGTCACTGGAAGTTATAAAAATACATGTATTTGAATTGCTATGAACTTCTGGGAAATAATTGTTACATCCAACTAGATAAGACTGAGATAAATTGAGGAATAAACTTCCCGTGCTAGGTGAAGTGAGTTAAAAAGTTCCTGAGTTATGACAACCCTTTAAAAACAAAAAAAGCATGAGGTCTAATTCCACATCCTTTGTCTTTCTCTTGATACAACTAAGCAAGCCTTTTCCTAAGGGTGGTAAGCAAAAAGAAAAATCTATAGCTAAGATACTGGACTTGAATAACTAAATGTCCAGGACCAGATGAAGCAAAATTAAAGCAGTTCTTGTGTCTTTGGTTCCATCACTAGAGAATGACTGTTTTCTTCCAGGGTTAGAGATCAGCATATAACCTTTATGCTAGGCAGACTTGTGAATGAAGAGAGGAGACCAAAGCAAGCCTCTGGTCCATGCACCAGACCCCTAAGCCCCCAGAAATGGTGCTCTTCCTTCTGGCTGTGGGTGTGGGGACTGAGCGGGTGGTCTGGCTGCTGCTGCAGCTGTAGGGTTCCACTTTGAAGTGCTGGAGAGCTGCAGCGTGGTGAAGGCCAGGAGACAGTCTGTCTTCCTCCCCCGTGTCTGTCCATGCTGCATTCCTGGGAGTTTCCCTCCTGAGGATGCCTCTTTCTAAGGCATTGCTGCCTGGGAGAGCAGATTACCTCCAGAGGCTTGGAAAAGCAAAACCCCCTCACACTGCTGCTTGTCCGCTCTGCTGCTTTGGGCATAGCCACGATTTAGCGCTGGGGATGGAGCCCTTGCCTTGCTGTTGAGCCCACAAATCCATTCTCTTACCAGGGCAGCTGGCGAATATCCACATCTGAGCTGCCTGGAGCTGGGAGGGGAATTGCTGTGCGACCAGGCATATGCAGCCTGTATGCGTTCCACCCCAGGCTGGCTGCTGCTCACCAAAGACGTGTCTCGCTCGAAACGCTCCTCCATGTGCAGTTTGTTACAAGAGATGCGGCTGTGCTCTGTGCAAGGAGGGCTTCGTTTCTGCAGGTGCTGGGTTTGGCACTCGGAAGGGAAGGGGTCCAGCTGCTGCCCAAAACCAGCTTAGTGTGGTCTCCACCAGCCCAGGTTTTTTTCCATGGCTTCCTCTGAGCAAAGGTTTGTCATTAACTTACGTGCCATGGGAAAGGGCTTGTCAAGGAAAGTGGGTGAACAACCCGCTGCTGAAGATAAACTTACTGACATGGCCATCACTGACCTGTGTGAGTGGAACTGGCCACCCTTCTATAATTTGGACAATGGAAGCTGGCACTGAAAAAATATGCACTTTGCAGCATTGGAGACGTTTATCCAGGCAGCCTACTGCTCGTGTTTGGGCACTGCTTCCTCCAACTCTTTGCAGAAGAGTTGGGGCCACACTGTGCATGAGCAGCAGCTGAGGCTCCCCAGGGAGGCACTGACCAGCAGCCCTCAGGGTTTTTTTGCCCTGAGATGTAACGAGCAATTCAAGTGATGAGCAAAAAGGTAGCAGCCAAAACTGTGTGTGAGAGGCTGGGTTGCCAGCCAGTTTTTGGCTGAGATCTTCCTACAGATGAGGTGGGGTGGCAGTGAGGAGGAGGAGAAGAGCTTGGAATTAAAAATTCTGGGGTTTCATCAGGAGTAAAGGCAATAAACCAGCAACACTCTTCCTCCCACTGGTGCATTCACTTGGTGTCAGTTGCCAGACCAGCTCCTCAGTGATTTACTGGAACCGAATGAGGAGGAGAGGGACTCTGCTGGGAGCTGTGCCTTGTTGGCAACTAAGGTCCAGTTGTGGGGGTTTTAACAGTTTAGTCTACAGTTGTACAGAAATAACACCCAGCTTGGCTCTGAGATCCAGCGATGGAAGGCCTGTCTGCAAGGAGGGAGGACGGGGTGACCTGCCTGATGGAGAGGAATGAGCAGTTTGCTTGTCTGCAGTTAGATCACTCACATTTTATTCCCAACCCCCTGCTTAGTGTCATCTCTGGGAACCTAATGGGAAGCTTTGCAGTGCCCTTCGTAGTACAGTCACTTGCCACATTCTCCACAGAATTAAACTTCTTGTGGAGTTGAGAACTAGTTGGGCTGTAAAAGCACCCAGGAGCCCAGCCCTGATCACTGCCAGGTGGCTGTGGACTTCTCCCAACACTCTGCAGGGCTGCTTTTTATAGCTGGTGGCCTGTGGGAGAGTACTTCATGTTTTCTGGAGCTGAACTTTTTCTTTGCAGGAGTAACAACAAGAGGTGGTTCGTTGCTGAAGATCTTGCCTGGTCTCCCTCATTAGTGATCCCTAATCCTCACCTTCCTTATCATCCCAGTTCTTAAATGCCTTAGCATAACCTTAAACTTCAGTTGGTTTTATTTGTCAGCCCAGGCACAGCTTGGAGTTTGCTGCTTCTCTTTCAGCCTCCCAGGAATGCTGTCTGGAAGCTTTTTTCCAGCAGGCACAGGTTTGCTGAACAGGTTAACTCTCCCCTCACAGCTCAGCCATGGGATGTGTACTTTCTCTCCAGTGGCACCCCAACAGCTGAGTCACTTCTGTGTGCAAGTTCAAATGTCCATGGTCTCCTGGGTTGGCAGCATGCCCAAGTACAAGAAGAGAGTCACTTTGCCCTTACAAATCAAGTTTTGAGTTAATTATCTGTTTGCTTGGACAGAATGCGTCCTTGTGTATTGGAAGATAATCTTGTGATCTGGACTAGGGTCGGAGGAGTTCAGAGCTTTGGCAGCGCAGCGGGAGGGAGTGCGTGATGGGTGGCTCCTCAGGGGAAGGACAGGGGCCATGGGGCTAGCTGGGGACTTGAGGGCTGGGCGCTCCTCCGTGCGCTACCACAGACTCTGGGTATGGCCGTGGGCAAGTCACGAGTCACTTAAACTGTCTGGGCAAGTGGAAAGGAGCAATTCAAGGAGATGGAAGTTAAACTGGGGAAGATAGGGGAGAGGACTGGGAAGCCATCGGCTCAAAAGGGGGTGGGTAGTAAATCAGAAGTATTCATCGTGTATGTTGTAATGACCTGATGTGGGGGTGCCCACAGAAGTACCACACCACAGTCCTGCTCTGCGGTTTATAAGCACAGCGGTAGGTCTGGGGCATCGTGTCACCGTGTGGAAAGGAGGGAGAAAGCTTCAGATCTGTGGCGTGACTGGCAGGGGGGGGTCTTCTCCCACTAACACCCCATGGGGTCCGTGGTAAGGGCTTTAATGAAGGCTGGCCATGAGCCAGGGGCATTGCTGGGGCGTTCGTAGGAGCCAGGGTGGGCTCCCTGGCTGGAATGTGCGGCTGCTCCGATGGTGCTGGCATAGGGAGAGCAGAAATCGCTTCTGATGGATCAGCATGGATGCAACAGGAAGGGAAAAGCTTGGTGGGACAGTGAGATACCTTGGGACGCAAAAGGATCTTGCAGTATTATGGTGCAAAGCCTTTCTCCAAAGAGTTGTTGGGCTGCCTTGTGCTCCTAGGACTAAATGTATAGTGCAAAAGCATACTTCGAGTGGCCTTTAATGCTCTTCTGGGCTTCCGTGGCACTGTGTGGCTGCTGGTGTTCATTTGTTTTTCCTTGCTTTCAGTGCCTCTGACCATCATGGAGGATGCCGGCATGGAATCAAACATCTCCCCTCCTGACAACACTTCACAGCAGGACTCTCCCTTCAGCATGATGGACCTGTTTCTTGTCTCGCTCATCATCGGACTTTTTACTTACTGGTGGTTCTTCCGCAAGAAAAAGGAGGAAGTCCCAGACCTCCCCAAAATACAATCAGTGTAAGTAACAGCTCTCAGGTAGTGGGGTGAGTGTAGCTTTGCCTTGTTTATGGCGGGTCCTTGGAGGCCGTGCAGGAGGCTCAGCTGGATTAGAGGAAGTCCCCAGGTGAGGACACTTGGCCCCACAGTGCATTTCTCTCCCTTCACATTTCTTCTGAGCTGTGTGTTCACCTGGCAATGCAGAAATCCCCATGGAAGAGCCAGGCTGCAGTTCTGCCTTACCCCGCTGTGTGGCTCAAATCAGTAATTTGCCTTTCCCAAGCAAGGCAGGAAAAGGCAAGGCAGAAAAGCCTCTGGCTGTACTTCAAAACTCTTAAGAATTGCTTTGACTATTCTCTGTGTTTTCTGATAAAAGTAATATTTAGATAAATCTGGAGAAAGGTGGACTTGCTCTTAAGCAGGTTTCTTATCAGAAATCTTACCTACACTTAGCTATGAAGAGAAGAAATAATCTTGGGGAGCTGGGAGATAGTTTCTGGGCATGAGGTCCTTGGCAGCTCTTGTGAAACTTGCTTGGCTTTGCCAGGTTGCCACAGCAGCAGGAGACTGATTTTTGAAGAGGGAGAGGTCCTTGTTCTACCCCATCTTCTGCAAAGGGCTTAGGGCCAGGAGCGAGCCGTGTTGGTGGAGGTCTGGGTGCATTTAATTCCTTGTCTCAGTCACATACCAAAGTTAACATGAGTTTTCTGCTGGGCTTTTTAGCTCATTCCTGCTGTTTCCTTCTGGAGCACTGGTAAGAGCACTAAATAGAGGTTTGAATCCCACTGAAACAGAGACTGTGGAAGCTGGTGTTGTGCAGTATCTTTCCCTTCAGTCTCTTGTGATCTGTTCCCTGTGTGGGTGCAGTTTGCCCCAGAGAGAAAAGTGACCCCGGCCTTAGCCCAGCTCTGTGCTTTCCAGTATTAGGCCTTTGCAGGAGGTAACCACGCAACAAAGGTCAATCCTCTGGGTTTATAATGCCGGCTGTAAATTCACTGTAGGGTCCCCAGTCCTGGGTGGTTGGTTGTGAGGCCGTGCCACGAGGAGGGGGCAAGTGATGTCTGTCTGCCTGCAGTAGGTTCAAGGTTTCATGCATACAGTTGTACCAGCAAAGTGTCCTGTATGAAGTGAGCTTCTCCCCGTGGCACTTAGCAGGTGCTGCTCTCGTAAGAGGTACTTGTCAGTCCTTCATTTCAAAGTGTTACAGCCCAACGTGGAAAGAAGCTGAGGCAGGACCTGTACGTAGGCTGCTCAGATGAGGATGTTTGATGATAAGCCGAGGCATTTAGCAGGGGATTGGTGCTCCTGTTACCCTGTGTGTAAAAGCTAAATCAAACACAGCAAGCGGTTGTGCATCTGTTATCTCAGACTTTTATAACCTTAGCGGGTTATGCTGCTCTTGGTTTTCAGGGCTCGTCATCCAGTGTTTGTGTTGTAATTCAGGTCATAATTGAACAGGAGCAGTTTTGGCCTCATCGTTTCTGTTTTGGTCAGATCATGACCCTTTCCTGTGGCAGCAAAGCCCTCTGCTTGAAGGCAAGCTTGGGATGCCAGATCTGTTGTGAAGTCCCTGGGTAATGGCGAGGAGTAGCTCACAGCTCAGAGCAAACTCTCAGGCAGGCTGCGCACACTGATCTCACAGGAGGAGGAGTATGTTTTCTGGTTGGGAGAGTTTTAAAAAGAAGAAACGTCCCTGGCTGCTTTACCTTGTGCAGACAGGTACAGACGAGGCTGGTAGCAGCCCACCTATCCATGCCTGCTTGGCCTTACCATTGGGAATGTGTTTTGCTGGATCGGTCAGACACTTTCCCTCTCGTGCCTGCAAGAGAGGGCTGTGTGTATCAGTGCGTGCAGTTGCCTCTGGAGATTGTAACGAAAACGGCCACGCTGTGATGAGAGCTAAACTGGCTGGAGAAGTGGCACTATCAATCTGAAATTAGATCCTGACGTGGCACAGAGGGACTCGGAGTGCTCCTGTGCTCACTGTCCTTGTGACTGTTTCCACCCATCACACGCAGCTCTTCCAGAGGCGGCCGTGACCTGGCAGAGAAGTTGTTCTGAATCCCCCCGGGCGTGTGGTACCGCTGCAGGACCTCAGCACGTGGGCTTCCATCTGAGACTGGCTGGAGGTTCTGCCTCCAGAGCTGGCTCACAGGCATTTTGCCTACGTTTCGTTTGTGGGGTCTGTGCTGCCTTCTCCATCTGCAGGGGAGATGGCTGGCAGGGAGGGAGCACTGTGCAACTGCTGCTTGCAAGAGCTGTGCAAGAGCAGCACCTCCCATCACCGATAACCAGCGGGGAGAGGTGAGGTTGCTCTGGACCTTGTCTGATACGACTGCATTTTGGAAAAGTGACAGCCAGGCAGGTGAAGATTGAGAGGAAGCTGTGAAGTAGTTTTTCCCTGTCCATTAAGCCTGACCCTGCCATTGCCTGCTGCAGCCCTGCTGTGCTCACTGTAGCAAGCTGGGCTGAGGGCAGCAGGGCCCCGTGAGCCAAGGCTGTGGCAGGCAGCACATCGATCCTCCAGGACAGAGACAGCGACTTCCTGCAGCTTTTGCAGTGTTATTTTATGGGACACTTGGAACCAGGAGGGAAATGAGTGGGGAAAACAAGCTTGTTCAGCCTCGGGTTTCCTTCTCTCCTGTCTTCCTTGAGTCTGGGGTGGAGTTTCCTTTCTGATGAACAAGCAAATTGGCAAGATACAGGATCACACTGTCAGCTGCTGCCTGTGGCTGGCTGGATGTGACAGGCTGGCCCATGGGCAGGCAGGGAAGCTGTCCCAGACCCGTGAAGGCAGAGAGCCCTCGGGGGGGACTGTCTCCAGCTGAGGTGGAGAGACTTGACCTTAAGAGGTGTTGCTTTTCTTCAGTACGTTCTCTGCAGCTCTGCCTTGACTCTCCAAACTGTCCTGAGCTGCTTTATCTGATGGTACTGCATGGCGGTTTCTGTTGTGTTGCTTTGGTCCCCAGCTTCAGCTTCAGCCTCGGGAGACAGGAGGACAGAAGTGCTGAACAGCAATTCAGATGTGTCACGATGGCTGATGCTTTAATTGGGTTTGCTTGCAACGTGGGAGAGTGCCAGCAGAGTCTCCGACCTGAACACGGCGTCCAGCACCTCGGTGCCCTCCTGAGGTTTTTGGGAGCCACCGCTGAGCAGCATGCCGTCATCAAGCGACGTCAGCTCAGCAGGGTCTGCAAAGGAAACGCCACTGCTGCAGCTGCCCTTAGTTGTGGAAGAAGAGATGCGTGGTCAAAATACCCTGTGCTGGATGGCACCTGAGCTGGGTTCGCTCTGCACGGCCTGGGAATGGTCGTGATCTTGCCTCGACGGTGCGTCCCTGGGTTCGGCCACAGCTCGGCCGCTTGCTGATCCCTCACCCTTGCAGCCAAGTGGAGCTGTTTTCCTGCCTGAAGTCCCCAGAGAAGGGGCAGAGTCCGGCATATGCAGAGGTTTCCCATGGACGAGACGTCCTGTACCTGTGTTGTGTAATAGGCGCGTGCGTGGGGCAGGCTGGGATACTGCTGTCTGAAGATCGCTTGCGTTTTGACCGTTTTCAGACTTAATTGAAACCACCGGAGCAGCCTTTCCCATAGCCTGCTCTGCAGATGTCATTAGGGAGAATGGCTCTCGATCGCCACGCAGCCATGGCCACCGCGCTTCCTCGCAGGGGAATGCACTAATTTATTTTTATTCTTTGGCTGTGCCTTCTCTTCGTGTTTCCCAATCGCAGATTGCTTTCCTTTCTTGAGTGCCGGCTCTGGAGTTGTGCAGACTGTCACCCTGGGGAGACGCAGGCGAGTCAGTGATTGGTATGCTGGGTGTCACCCCCCTCCCTCCTCCCTCTGTCTTTAACATTGTTTGGGGCATAGATTGGCTTATCTCTATTCCGCAGCTATAGAGAAGTCCACTCCCTGGTGCTTGTAGGGCTTCCTGTGGCAGGAATTGCTCAAAGTCCTTAGCCTGATTAGCTCTCTTTGCTGCCTGCGTGTATATTAGAGAGAGAGAGAGAGACCATCTCTAATTTAATTTAATAGGATCCTGAAGAGAACAAACTCCTTTGAGCTGCCTCCGTAATGGCACTGCCATAGTTACCCGCCGCTTTGCTCACGCAGTGTCTGGAATCATTTCATTCAGCTACAGCGTCAACTTTTTTTTTTTTTTTTAAAGAAGAATATATAGAAATGCAGCTGTGATATAAACAGTTTCCAAGGTAACAAGGCGGGGGGAGGGTTTTGTGTCCCGTCCCCCTGCTCCACGCTGCTGGGAGAGGGATGTGTGCTGCGGAGGATCCTGGGAGGTTTCATTCTCCACTCCTAATTCCTTTCTGCCACTGCTGCCAGATGTTGCAGTTTCTCAGCACTGCGCGGATCCACTCGGTAACTTCCAAAGCCCCGCCACGAGGATCCGAGCGGACGGGACCACTCCTGCTATGACCCGGGCCGGGACCTTTTGTGCCGGCTCTCTTCTCCTTAACAAAAGGCTGACGCTTGGCTTTAATGCCCAGGAGGAGCAGAATGGAGAGGCCTGTGTGTGTGTTGCTCCAGAGCTAAGTTAGATCCGTCCCCCTACACCTCCCCTCGCAGCCAGGCACGGCTGCCCTGCAACTCTTTGTCTGCCTCTTCCCTGCCCCGACCATGGGCTGCGTGTACTCAGCCCCGCGAGAAGAGGCGGCCGTGGCGAGGTGAGTTAATCTGCTCACTGGGCAGGCGGGATTGCTCCCCAAAGCTGGGTGCAGTGGGGTGCCTCTTCCTTCTGGGGCAGGAGGAGAAGGAAGGGGAGAGGCTCTGCTCGGAGGCAGGCTGCTCCAGAGGGGACCCTGCCGCCGGTGTTTGGTTTCTCTGCAACGTCCAGGCTGCGTTCTCACTTCTGGATGTATGTGTGCTTCCAGGAGGATATGACAGGCATGGGAGCTTTCTGAAGGAGAGGTGTTCAGCTGAGACAGAGACTTTGATATTGTTGCTGAGCTGTCAGGGAACTTCCTCCCCCCTTCTGCCTTTCTTTCTCCTGAAATCAAAGTGACAGATAGCCCTGGGAGTCACTTGTGCTGTGGGCAATCACCAAGGGTGGGCAATCTGTATAAGGTAAAGACTCGCTCCAAAAATGGAGTTAATCCCCTTCCCTCCACCCTTCACTTCTTCTAACTCTCGTAGTCGTTAACCTGAGCTATCTAAGCTGTGAGAGTAGTTGTAGCTGAAAACACACTTTCTCTTCTAAGTTTTCTTGTCTGAGCAGTGGAAATGAGTGTCGTTTCTGTCTTCGGTGTCTGTGCATTTTTGCAACTCGGATTTTTTTCAAGCCACCCTGGTGAAGCAATTTCAGGGAGTTGTGTAGCCTTTATTCAAAAGCCAGACTCATTATTTCTTCTTGTCTGAGCCACAGACTGGTCTCCACCACAACACTTCAGTGCAGGGTTGCCTCCTTTGAAAACGGACAAGCTTCATGTACTTCACCCTTTTCTCTTCCAAAGGGAGCTTGCTAAAAGGATCTAAAACTTTTTTTTTTTTTTCCTCCTTTAAAAGTGTTTTGTTTAGCAGTTGACCCAACAGCTATTTTAATTGGATCTCATTTGCAGAGGGCAGTAATCCAAAGAGGTTCACCAGGGAGCCAAAAGTGAGGTGGAAGCTGAGTCTCGTGAGCTGGCTGGGGGACAGCTCTCCCAAGCCCCCGTCCTGGCGGTACTGTGGGCAGGGTTGGGGCTGGTCTGTTAAGATGCTTCCGACACCCCTGTTCCCAACAGGGGACAAATGACGAGGAGAGACTTAACTGCTGAGAGTTGGGGGCTGCAAAAGCAGTTCCCTCCTGGGAGCACAACTGCCTTGGGTAGCTTTTTTGGTAGGGTTTGCTTGTCTTCCGTGCATGCTGTATGAGCCTGTGTTGGTGCTCGAAGCTGTCAGGCCTAGTTACAGTGCTCCTCGATACCTTTGGGTAGAAGGGGGTGCTTGAAGGCATGCTTTACTGAATGTCCCTCACCCTTCTCTGTGTCTGTGTGTGTGCTCTGCAAATGTCTCAGCACATCCGCAGAGATCCCTCCCTCTGGACTCCAGAGTTTAGGAAACTGTTAGCGAGCTCTGCACATTCTCATGTGGGCCGGAGCCAAAGCCATTTGTTTTTTGCCTGCAGGCTTCTCTCTTCCCACAGGAGACCCAGCCTTGCATTCTTCCATTGTGAAAGAGGAACAGGAACGGGTCCCACGTTCCTCCTCCCCACTACTGAAGCTTCAGCAGGACGGACAGCAAGTGAGCTCCTGGCACTTGTCCTCCTGCCTTGAAAAGACCACAGTGCCTAATCTGACTCTACCTAGACCCACCTCTGCTTGTGAGATTCCCCAGGGCTGGGTTGCTTTCACCCTGTGACACTGAAAATCCATGGGTGTGCTTAGGATAGCAAAGCTCTTCTAGCTCCCAACCTAATAGGGTAGCCACAGCAGTGTGAATCTCTGCCTTGGTGCTTCTGCTGCTGCTGTGGTTTGTCCCTCTTCAGAGCTAGAGAAAGCCACCTCCGTGCAAACCCTCTCCATGCTGGGGATGGAAACCCCGGCGTGGGAACGAGCCCTGCGGGACCTTGGCAGGCAGCAGTCGCCTTGCTGGAGGCTCTGTGGGTCTGATCAGCTGCCTCTGTCTGCTCTGCAGGGCTCCTCAGCTCTGGGACTCGTGTCTGGCATGCTGTTTCAAGGTCAGAACAGCTGTTTTTTAGCCCTGTCTGACTTCAAGCTTGTGGAATCTGCCTTGGGGGGTCATGGCTCAGGACATCCCCTGCCTATCTGCTGTGGTGGAGAAGTACAGAGCTCTCCATTCCATTCTCTCCCAACACGGCTTGGCCCCTGAGATTTGTCTTGAGATCTGCTCTTGCACCTTAGCTGTGTGAGATCCTTGTGACCTGCTCAGGTGTGAAACTTCTCAGAGCAGTTGATAGAGTGAAGGCTTCCTGGGCCCCAGGGCTGAGTGCCTGGGCTTTGCCTGTGGGAGGATTTACTGATGGAGGCAAGGCAGGGGGTCAGCATTTCCCCTCTGCGCCGAGTCCCTGCTCCATGGTGGTGTGCAGAGAAGCCGTGCAGCTGAGCGATGGGCATCCCTGGGACAGGGTAAATAAGAGTGATTGATGGGGACCCCCACCCCTTTGGGCAGCGTTCCTGCAATCTGGGGGCCACTTTTTCCCCACTTGCCTTATTCCTGACCTTAAAGAACGCACATGCTCATCTGAAAGGAGTTTCCTCCTGTCTTTCAGAGCAGCTCCGGTGAGAGACAGCAGCTTCATTGAGAAGATGAAGAAAACGGTAAGCTTCTTGCTCGGGCCACGTGGGGTGCTGGGAACGTGGGGAAGCTCGTGTCCTTCCCAGTTTCCTCTGGAGACTGTCTAGCTGTGTCAGCAGTGGGGACTGGTTTGGATCCAGACTGCTGCAAAGGGTATCCAGAGGAAGGCTGTGCGGGCAGGCAGGAATAGCTCTTTCAGTCTGTGCCTCAGAGTCATTCGTAGAGAAAAAATTGAAGTGAAAATTTGATGCAAAAAAAGTGTAATACAAGATCAAAGTCAGGAGGGGAAATGGCAGAGACTTTAAAGTCATTGTCTGGCAGTTTATCTGCATGGTTGGTTCCTAAAACTGGCTCACTCTGGAATGGGAACTGGCAGCTTTTGACTTCGTGGACTGGACACGAGAGGAAGCAGAGGAAGAAGCAAGGGCTGGATATATTTTCCGTTTTACTTCAAAGTAGCTGGCTTGTGGCAGAGCAGGAGCTCCAGTGTTTAGGCACTTTCCCAAAGCTTAGGCAAGTCTCCTTCCTCATCCAGGGAGTTCCCTGTTTCCAGGAGTCACGCTGCAGCCTTGAAGCTGAAAATAAATCTTGAGGGTTTATTCGTTGCTTTGAGTTTTAGTCTGACCTGAGTCACCCCTCTGAGATTGATAAGAGTCGTGTTCTTATTGGCAGTTTAGCTTTGAGTTTTCTGCCACAGACCTGGCGTGGAGTCCCGTACGAGTGCAGACTCCTATTTGCCTTTAGATTGCGGTCCAGGGCTCCTGATCCCAGGCATTTCCTTTGTCTCTGACAAGATGTGCTTCATCCTTGCATTTGCCAAATGAGTAATCACCATTTAACAGGGATTTCTTTGTCTCTCCAGGGGCGAAACATAGTGGTTTTCTATGGTTCCCAGACGGGTACAGCAGAGGAGTTTGCCAATCGTCTCTCCAAAGATGCTCATCGCTACGGCCTCCGGGGCATGGCAGCAGATCCAGAGGAGTATGACTTGGTAATTTAGCCATGAACAGCCTCAGGATAGGTAACATGCTTTTAGTGTCCCCTAAAAAAAAAAACAAACAAAGCCTGACCGAGGAACAGTTGCCCTTTCAGTAGTGTCATTTAGCGGAGGAAAGATCAGCCTGAGAGATACAGAGATGGGCTTGGTCTTTGCCATTCCACAGATTTGGAGTGAACACTGCAACATGACTGAAGGAGGAAGGTAGCCGTGACAGTTGGGGAGTTGCAGGTCACCCGTTGGCAACATGAAATTTGCTCTGTATTCCTTCTGCAGTTAGCATTGGTCCCATACTGCTGCAGTCTTGGACAGAGGCATTGACACTGTAGTGTTCTCCAGAGTGAACGACAATCCTGGTCCCTTAAAGCCTTGTCTGGAAAATCCCATCGCTTTTCTGGTGGGGTGATCAGCTGTCTGACGTTACGTGGTGCTGTTCTGTACACCGGAGGTAGTTGTATTGTAGGAACAGGCTTGCCCAGTAACCATGCTGGGGGATCCTTGAGGGTTTATTCTTTCCTTTGGTTGTAGTCGGACCTGAGTCGCCTCTCTGAGATCGACAAGTCCTTAGCTGTGTTCTGCATGGCCACTTACGGCGAGGGCGATCCCACGGACAATGCCCAAGACTTCTACGACTGGCTGCAGGAGGCTGACGCTGACTTGTCGGGTCTCCGATTTGCAGTAAGTGGCTCAATTTCAGTTTGGAGTTGGATTTGGGCAGGAAAGTCAAAAGCCCTCCGCTGTGCCTGCACGTGGCTTGGGTGAAGGCACAACATGATGTCTATGCCTCGGACGCCTGTGTCGGATGCGGTCTCTATTGTCTTCCTCCCCCAGATTCACAGACACTTGCAAACATATCTGGGGGCTTTAAATGCAGATGTCAGAGTGCTCTCTCCACTCCCTAAATCACAAGGGTTTGCTGGTAATGTCTTGCCACAAACAGCCCAGCAGGCATTGAATACAAGGTCTGTAAATGAGTTACAGGCTGCTGTTCAGGAGCTAATTGAGCAGCCCTGGGCCAGATCTTCTCCCACAAATTAAATCACTTGGAGGAGCGTGTGGCTCTCTTCCTGTGCTGAGCTGAATAATTGGCTGAGATGCAGCCACCTCACCTAAACCCCAGCCAAATTCCTTAGGCAGCATAATGAGTGCAAATGAGGAGACAGTCCACTGCGGGAGATGTTAAGCTGCTCTGTGTAAGCAGAAGGCAAACGTTTGCTGAGTGGTTTTTGGGAGACCAGGGACAGCGGTTGGTCTCCAGGCTTTTACTGGTCCCTTGAGGAGAGGGTGCAGGCAGGTCCTGTGTGTGCATCCTCCTGACATGCCCGGGGCCTGGCTCGGGGGAGGTGTGGTACCGACTGACCAGACACTCCCCAGTAGACCCTTACTCGAGGTCTACAAACAGCTGATGGGGAGCTGGGAGAGGTCTTGTCGCCTTTCTTCAACATCCTTTGCTGGCTGATACTGGCCAGAGGATGCCAACTGGGTGGGAAAAGTCCTGCCCCTGCTCCTCCACACTCGTCAGCATTCCCTTCTAGGTCTTTGGGCTGGGGAACAAGACTTATGAGCACTTCAATGCCATGGGAAAATATGTGGACAAGAGACTGGAGGAACTTGGAGCCCAGCGCATCTTTGAACTTGGGCTGGGAGATGACGATGGCAAGTGAGTAGCTTGGCTTGGAGGGCTGGTCAGAGCTGGCTAAAGCTTTGGGGTAGGGACCTTGGCAGGGAGTTGGCTAACTGCTAAGCTGTCTAAGACAGAAATAAACTCTTCCATAGGGCTAGTTGTGGGAGCTGACATGTTTCTGAGTGTGTGTCTGTCTGCTCGCTCTCCCACAATCAGATCCCTGTACACTTAGAGTATCCTAGGGGATCCTGTGTTTGGAAAATCCCACATCAGCTTTAAATGACCATAGTTATATACTCGAGGAGGCTTTGCAGCCTCCTCTGGCTTTGCCTTGCTGCAGCTCCATTGCTAATCCAGCTGGATGGATAAAATCACCCATCCCCGTGGAGGGGATAAACTCCATCTCCTTGTGAACTGTTTGTTTTATGGTGGAAGGCAGCAATTTTCCAACTTGGGCAATGATTTTTTTTTTTTTTTTTTTTTTGGACCTCTCTATGCTCACCTAAACACCCTGTGGGTAGCAGCTTAACCCGGGAAATTACATCAGTCTGTGGCTTTAACTCCAAGGGCTGCAAGATCTGAGAGGGATGTGCTGTATGTAGGAGGCTTTGAGCCCATAAAAATAAGCATTGTCGTGGTGGAATCCGCCTTTAGGAAGGTGACCTAATGCCAGGAGTGGGTGAGGGGGAGCTGAGTTTGTTAAAGACAGAGTCTGAATAACAGAGCCTTGCTTGGCAGACCTGGTGAAGGGAGGGGTGGCTGTTAGAGCACAGTTCCCTCCCACCCACTTAGTGATCTGAAGATGCTGTTCTGGTGATCTGTGGGCATGTAGACGTACCAAAACTGCCTGGGTCCAAGGGCAAATGCCTTTTCCCATGGTGAAGGAGGACGTCCGTAGGGATCTGGGATGGCTCCTCTGGGAATACACCTTTGCTCCCCCTTGGGCGGGGTTATTGAATCTCTCTTTTGCCCTGATTAGCTTGGAAGAAGACTTCATCACCTGGAGAGAGCAGTTCTGGCCAGCGGTGTGTGAGCACTTTGGGGTGGAGGCTACAGGAGAAGAGTCCAGGTGGGTATGGGAACAGGTTCTCCTGGGTGCCACAGGGATTGGTCACCTCTGACTGGTGGCTGTGCCGTCTGCCCTGAGCTGCTGTCCTGTTCCTCGTGTGCTGCTTCTCCCCTTCCAAACCTGAGAGGGCACATGTGAAGTAGATCAGTGAGTTGGGGCTGTTTGGACTGAGCCCTGTCCTGGTGCAAGTTTGAACCCAGCTGCGGATTTGTGTTCTGAATGGAGATGTGATGGGGTTTGTGCCTTTGTGGATGGCTTTGCTGGGTTGTAATGTTCCCAGTGAAGCTGATGTTTCCCCTTGGTTTGGGCTTTCTGCATGGTCTGCCTGATTCCTAACGTCTCGAGAGGGGCGAAGGGATGGAAGTTGCATTTGTTTTTGAACTGCAGAAAATCCAGCAAAGCAGGTGATGGTTCGTTCCAACTGTACCTTGTAATTTCCAGTTTGACTTTTTTTCTCTTTTCTCTCCAGCATCCGCCAGTATGAACTGGTGGTGCACACAGATGTGAACATGAACAAAGTCTACACTGGTGAGATGGGTCGTCTCAAGAGCTACGAGAACCAGAAGCCGTAAGTGCTGGTGGAGCCCTTGACATTTCTAACAACCTGCTGTGTGGGCAGTGTCACTTCTGCAATGCAGCCATGTGTCAGATAACCTGCCCAAGAGAAATGGGCTCAGATCTTCACTGGGACTCAGAGGGATTCCAGGGTTAATGAATCAGTGTGTGGGAAGGTGGCTGTGTTCACATGTGCTGTTTGGCTGGTACCTCTGCAGCATCTGTCTTGAGGTCACTCGGAGACTTTCCTCGCCCAGGGTAGCTAATGCATGATGGCAGCTTGCAGCTTTACTTTGAGGAGATTAGCTGTATAAATTATCTCCAAACTGAAATATCTCTTTGAGATGTGACATTCCCTCCAATCTACTTTTGCGTCGCTGCTTCTTAACGGGGCTGAAGCTGTCAACTGCTGGGCTGTGTTTAGAAGGAAAATTACTGGTTTTCAGGATCATAATTTGGTTTGTGCTGGGGTGTGCTTTGAAACATGAGCCAGGACAACCCCATGCTCAAATCCTGGGAGCCTGCTCTGGAGGCAGAGGGAACGTGCTTGGATACAGAAAGCACTGTCAGCCTGCAGAAGAGTAACCCAGAGGATCCTTGTCTTCCCTTCCAGACCGTTCGATGCCAAGAACCCCTTCCTGGCCCAGGTTACAGAGAACCGCAAGCTGAACGAGGGCGGAGAGCGACACCTTATGCACCTGGAGCTGGACATCTCCAATTCCAAAATCAGGTAGTTTCCCACAGGAGACTGCTCCTCTGGTTTGGCAAGAGCAGCCTGCATCAGGAGCAAAGAACAAGGATGTGGCACTGGCCTCATCCAGTGCTTCAGAAGAGGGAGCCTTGTTCTCATAATTACTTAACACTGCCCCTCTGGGCTTCTCTACCACATGCCATGTACCCCACGTCAGGTCTTTCTCCCAGCTCTTGCGCTGTGCCTGCCCACGCCAGCTGGCTGCTCTGGGTTCCTCCAGAGCTGGTTGCACATACCCATCCTACTTGAGCAGTCCCAGCTGCAAGAATTCTCTAGGAGTCATTAGAAAACCTAGTGGGCAGATGAGCTGTGAGAGAGGGGAGATGCCTGGGCTTGCCAGGCTTAGGTGTACAAGCATGGGGGGAATAAAGCCCTATTCTTAACAACCCTCTTGCTGGCTGAAATTCCTCTGTGTGCTTGTGAGAAAGCCACGAATCCAGGTGGCTTCACATAACAAAATACTGCAGAGGTTTCAAGCATCTTTGCTTCTTGCCTGTCAGGGAGTTGGCCTGTCCTTGCTGGAAGTCTGGCCTTGTTGAAGTCTCTGGCAAAACTGCTGTTATCTTGGAGGTCCCTTGTAAAAAAACCTGGTTCTTAAAACCATTATTCCACAAGGGTCCTTTCTGCTCTTACTGCCAGCTCTGCAGGATCCCTGATGGTGTAGGCACTGTGTAGCAGCTCAGACCTCAGTGTTGTCCTACTGCCCCTTGCACTAACCTGCTTTGTCTTCTTGCTGAGCAGCTCAGGTTTGGGGTGGATGAGAAGAGGTGCTGGTGTTTCACCTGCTCTCCTCCTGCTCTCGTGCCAGGTATGAGTCTGGGGACCACGTGGCGGTGTACCCAGCCAATGACTCTTCTCTGGTGAATCAGATTGGTGAGATCCTGGGCATGGATTTGGACACGATCATGTCCTTAAACAATTTGGACGGTGAGTATGGATCCACCCCTGAGCATCAGCAGTTCTCCTTCATCTATCTCTGTCCTCCTCACCAGAGCAGGAGCCAGATCACCTTCAGGTCCCGTAGGGCACCTCCAGGCAAACAGACATCCCGTGGCCGCTCGGACGCCGTGCTATTTTAGCAGTGGCACGGAGCCCGCTTGCCGAGAGCCAGCTGAAGTGGGTCAGGTGTGAAATGTACTTAGTGTGCCCGTTCAGCAGCGCATCGTGTAACGGCACACTCCTAATTACGGAGCATCAGCACACCAGAGCATCCCTCTGCTGCAGCAGCCCTGCAGCTGGACGGGGGCCTTCGTGTCTGAGATGCTGATATTCAGTCCCCGGAGGAGGCGCAGCCTTGGGGATCGACCTGCCAGGAGGGAGCACTTGTGCTGATACAAAGAGCTCCTCTTGGGCAGTGTTCCCAGCAGAGCTGGCTGCTGGCAGGAGGCAGATGGCAGCTGCTGCCCAATCTTACTCCCGAAGCAGCACAGCCTGACCTGCTGCATCAGGTGTGCTGGCCCAGAAGCCTAAGGGAGCTCCTGGCTTCAAGAGAGCAATTGGCTTTAATGTGCCCCCTCTGCAGAGTCCCACACTGCCTGGCCTCGCACTGTTGTTCCTGTCCCTTCTGGACCTCTTAATCTGCTGAACTGAATGGTTTCAGCCCTGGCTGCTGGCACTTACCTTTCCCAAGGGGACTCTGAGCTCTGAAGGGGGCTAAGGACAGTTGAGGCCAGATCTGAAGGAGGTGTAAGCTCATGAGGCCAAATTAGCTGTGGAGAAGAGCCTTCCTGCTTGGTCTGGGAGTTTGCTGGGTGCCTCTGCGCATAGATATTTTCGGGCAGAGAGCCCCCTTGGGGAGCACAGGGTAGTTGTTTTTTTTTTTTTGCTGGTATGCTGTCGGGCAGCAACTGTGAAACACAAAAGGGGCTACTGGGAGAGGGAGCTGCCCTGTGCTGGAGCTGCTTCAGTGTGGGATCAGGGCTTTGGCCAACGGGCTGATTCAGCCCTAGGGCTGCTCTCTCCTCCCTGCAGCCCGTTCCCCTGCTCTGTCTCCAGCTCTCATACACTGCATGTAGCTGCTGGCACGAAATCTAACATAACAGCAAGCGGTTGCTGACTCCTAATTTTTTTTTTTTTTTTTATTTCTTTCCCTCTTCTCCAGAGGAATCCAATAAGAAACATCCCTTCCCCTGCCCCACATCGTACCGTACAGCCCTGACGTACTACCTGGACATCACCAACCCGCCCCGCACCAACGTTCTCTATGAGCTGGCCCAGTACGCCACAGAGGCCGGCGAGCAGGAGCGCCTCCGCAGAATGGCATCGTCTGCTGCCGAGGGGAAGGTGGGAGCCGTGGCCTTCCCAGCGAAGCTGCTGGGTTTGCACCGGGTGCTGGGGGATCCCCAGCTGGGGTCCCAGGGCTGGTTGGGCACCGCGGGCGGAGGGCTTGAGCGGAGGGAAGTCGTCACGCGCGCGTGCCCTCCTTGCCCGCAGGCTCTCTACCTCAGCTGGGTGGTGGAGGCCCGGAGGAACATCCTGGCCATCCTGCAGGACATGCCCTCGCTGCGCCCCCCCATCGACCACTTGTGTGAGCTCCTGCCCCGCCTCCAGGCCCGCTACTACTCCATCGCCTCCTCCTCCAAGGTGAGCCTGCTTCCAGCGGGGACTGCGGCTGCGGGGAGGCCGCTTCGCCTGCGGCTCCGCAGTGCCACCCTCCTGCTCTCCAGCTGGGGACAGGACACGGGGAACTTGCCCTGGCGACACTTCCTGCGAGGGGGGCAGCTTCAGTTATCTCTCTGCATGGGACGAGGGGGTTATCCCAACCTCCACAGAGTCTGCAGCCAGCTGCGCCCTGGTACCACTACCCTCCCCGCAGCCCTGCTCCTCTTTGCTTTCCAGGGCTTGGAAGCAAGGTGGCATTTTAAGGGTGGGTCAAAATTCCCTTTTTGCTTTGTGCCTGAAGCCCTGAAGTTGTTGGCAATACCAAGAGAAGCTCAGCGGTCCTGTGATGAGTCAGGCTCAAGACAGAAGCCCCGTGTGGGCTTTAGGTTTAGCTCCTCCCCACCCCTCAGCACAAGGGACTGAGCTGTGGGGTTGCTGGGGCTCCCGCTGCCTGGCACTGACCTCCCTTCCCCGCAGGTTCACCCCAACGCCATCCACATCTGTGCAGTGACGGTGGAGTACGAGACCAAGACGGGCCGCCTGAACAAAGGGGTGGCCACCAACTGGCTCAAGAACAAGGTGCCCAACGAGAACGGGAGCAGCTCCCTGGTGCCCATGTACGTCAGGAAGTCGCAGTTCCGCCTGCCCTTCAAACCCAGCACCCCCGTCATCATGATCGGGCCGGGGACCGGCATAGCCCCCTTCGTCGGCTTCATTCAGGAGCGGGCCTGGCTGAAGCAGCAAGGTGAGTGCCCAGAAAATTCCCCGGGGACTGGACGTGCTGCGGGACAGGGCTTTGCGGGGCTGGTTGGTGCCTCCGAGGTCGCATTGCTGACGGGACCGGCAAAAAGCGGGGTGAACAGCGGCTCCGTGGTTTTTCCCAGCACGGGGGTGCTTTGTCCTCCTCGTGGCCGCAGAGGATGTTTGTGGGGAGCAGACAGAGCTGAGCCGGCCCTCTGTCCTCTGCCACCACATCTCTGAATGGCCACGGTCAAATCGCTCATTCCTAAAGCATTTGGCTGCTTCTGGGGGTTGGGCTCGAGCTTCCCCTTACGAACAGCAGCAGCTCTGCCTCCCGCGGGTTGGCAGGACGAGGCGGGTGGGGAGGGCAGGGCTGGGCTGCAGGGGGGGCGCAGCTGATGGGTCCTGTGTGACTCTGCAGGCAAAGAGGTGGGCGAGACGGTGCTTTACTACGGCTGCCGGCGTGAGCACGAGGACTACCTGTACCGCGAGGAGCTGGCCCGCTTCCACCGGGAGGGCGTCCTCACCCAGCTCAACGTTGCCTTCTCCAGGGACCAGGCTGAGAAGGTACAGCTCTAGGCCCCCCGCCGCTTCTTCGTGCTGCCCGCCATCGCTCCCAGCTGTGGCAGCAGGGGAAGAAAAAACCCCGAGGGCTGGAGCCCCCCCAGCCTGGAACCTCGCTGCTAGGGAAGGCCCGTGGCTGCCGCAGGAGCACCCGGCTCCTCCCTGGCTCGCCGAGCCACGAGCGTGGGCTTGGCTTCTCCTCCCTTGCCGTGGCCCGTGGCGGGGGGGGGCTCTGCCCCTCTCACCTCACTCCTGCCTTGTTGCCCACCAGGTTTATGTTCAGCACTTACTGAAGAAGAACAAGGAAAACGTCTGGAAGCTGATTAATGAGGGGAACGCTCATATCTACGTGTGCGGGTAGGTCTGGTGGCAGGGAAGGGACTTTGGAAAAAGGTTCCTGTTCTTGGGAAAATTGGTGTGACTCAGTTTACCCACCTGTGCATCACAAGCAGCGGGAGGGTGACGCCGTCCTTGTTACGGGGGATGGGAAGCGGCTGGGCCCGTGGGCTGGGCTGGGCGAAGCGTTTGTGCTCGGGGCTCTGGCTCTGATGTGTTACTGCCTCGCTCACGGTCCCCTTGTTTCCAGCGATGCTCGCAACATGGCCCGGGACGTGCAGAACACCTTCTACGAGATTGTGGCCGAATTTGGGAACGTGAGCCACCCCCAGGCCGTGGACTATGTAAAGAAACTGATGACGAAGGGCCGGTACTCTTTGGATGTCTGGAGCTAAGAGCGGGGCTGGTGGGGCCGGGGAGAGAACGGGTCCCCTGGTGTGGGCCCGTGGGGGGTGGAAAGTGCCTGCTCGCCCACTGCTGCTGTGGGTGACAGTGTCATCCCCAGCCCACAGCTATCCCAGTGTCACTCCCAACCCCTCCTGGGCTGCCGCAGCCCCCCCCGGGGCAGGCCGTGTAGCCTGGTTGGGGGTGGAAGGGGTTGAGAGGGGCAGGGGGGGTAGCTCAGGCTGGTGTCCAGGAGCCACGATGCCCCCGGCACCCCAGGGAGCACCTCGTGGCAGCAGCGTTTGCCTTGGGCTCGGGGACACCGGGTGATGGGAGGCAGGAGGGACGGACGGTGCCTCCGGAGCTCTGGGGCCCTTCCCTGGACACGACGTGTTGCCTTATCCCCGGGGGCTGGAGACCAGCCCGGCCTGCGGTGCAGGCAGCCCGGGGCGGAGGAGCCGGCCCCCCCTGCGCCCCGCGTTTGGTGGGAGGGCAGGGCGGGGGGCAGCCATCTGTCCTCGCCCCGTTTGTCAGCCCGGGGCTGTGGGGCTGGCAGCTGGCTCTGGGCACTGCCCCACGCCACCGGGACCCCCAGGCACCCCGCTCCTTGGCCCCGCTGCCCGCCTTCGCTCCAGCACGCCGCGGGGGGGGGACGGCTCCTCTCCGCTCCAGAAGAGACCTGCTCGGCAGGGGGGGGGGGGTGTCTGCAGGGGCCCTGCAGCCGGCAGCTCCCCTGTGCCCAGCCCCGCCTTCAGGCTGTGTAGGGTCATTTTTTAAATACTGTTTTTATTTTAACATCTTTGATTTAATCGTGGAAAAAAAAAAAAAAAACACCAAACTTTCAGGCTGTCCAATGACTGTAAATTATTTAAATACATTTGCCCTTGGAATAAAATGACTGTTTCTGTAGTTTCTTTCCTGCCCTCTCTGCTCAACCAGAGGGGAAGAGGGAGGCGGGAGGAGGAATGTTTGTGAACCGGGGGGAGACCTGGGGAATGAGAGGCAGCGCTGGGTTTAGTCTGGACTGAGGCACGGCTGTGCAAGTCTCCGCAGTCCTGCCGGGTCCTGGCTCGGCTCGCTGGGCAACCAAAGCTCTGGCCACAGCCTGGGGCACCGGGCTGTGTGGGCCAGGGGCTGCCAGGGTGTCGGGGATGGAGCGATGCCCTTCGCTGAGAAGTAGCAATATGCTTATTGAGATAAAACAGCAATTTAACAAAGTTAGTTTAATAGTAGTTTAACGAGATGCAAGGGTGAGGGTCACTTGGTATTTACGTCGGAGAGGGCAGGGTCAGACAAAACAGTTAGGGAGACCCTCCCGCTGAGTCAGGAGGTTCAGCAAGGATCCCCTCGTGTGCTCAGCTCCTCAGAGCGGAGCCTGGCTGCGGCTGGATCCGCTCCTACTCCCAGGCTCGCTCAGTGGTTCGGGTCTAAAGGACTAGAGGTGTGCAAGCAATCCTCTGTGTCTCTACGCCGAGACTTCAGTGCTGGCGTGCTCTTGCTCCCCGGCCGAGAACCTGTCGCGCCAAGGGCGCTCTGGACCTCGAGGAGTGGTGGTGTGAGGTGTCCCTGCTCCGGGGGAGATCCCGGGGCGCAGCCCGCGGCCGCGCAGGAGAGCGCAGCAGCCCCTGGGCCCTCTGCTACTTGGGGAGAGAGAGAATTGACTCGTCATCACACCTGCACCCAGACCGCGGGTGGTGGCTTCTTCCCCGTTGGGCTCGAGTCGGGCGGTGACCAGCGCCGCGCTTGTTCAAACCAGCCCTTGGCTGCTGTGCTGTTCCCTGTGTCCCCAACCCCTCCCTGAGTCAATGCCCCATCACGGCCCCACTGGTGGCTGTGGCTGGACCGGGGTTAGGGGAAGCACAGCTCAGGCTGGGGGGGGAGCACACTGCCCTGCAAGGGAGGGAGCTGGCATTTCCCAGCGCTGCCCTCCCATCCCATCCCACACCCCAGCCGCTGTGGGGGCAGCCGGAGGTGGGGGGTTTTTTTCTTCCCTCCCCCCTGACGCAACGTGACCACTACCAGACAGGCCCAAGCCACAGAGCACACGAGCTGGTCCGAGTCCACCCCAGCAACCCGGGGCGGCTCCTTCCCTTTATTTTCCCACGCGCATCCTCCAGCGACGCGAGACCAGGGCGCTGCTCGCCCAGCTCCAGCGTGAAGCCTGGTTCAGGCTCACAGTGCTCCCACCCCTCCCCGTGCCACAGCTCAGCCACCCCGGCCCCTCCGCCCCGAGGCTTGAAGGTTAAACGAGGAACTGAGGTACAGACCTCCAGCTCCTCTTGAAATTAAAGAGGGCTGCCGGGGCAGCCAGGGAAGCACTTGCTTGCAGCCGATGAGAGGCGAGGGCCTCTCTACCTCCGCCTCCACCGCGCTGGGGCTGCCCTGGGTGTCGGGCTGGGGAGAGCCTTGACCACCCCCGGAGCGGTGTAAGGGGCAGCTGCCGGCCCGCCTTGGCCCAGGGGAGTCGATGCAAGCTGGGCACCCCGGGCTGCCCCCCGGCGAGGTGGGGAGAGCTCAGAGCTGGGCTTGACCCCAGAGAATCATCCCAGTAAATGTCTTCAGGGCAGGGGGAAGGGGAGCGGCCGTCCCAGGCACCCTGCTCTTCCAGAGGAGGAAGGCAGATGGGACGGGGGTTGCAGGGTGCTCCCGCCTCCAGGTGTGTGACTCGGGCACAGATCCAGCACTGCAGCGAACACACTGTGTTCTATTTGTGAGCAGGGCCCAGGCTCTGCCCCACACCCAGGCTTCCAAGGAACGGGGTGAGACCCCGGAGTCCGGACGGCATCGAGGAGGCGGGGATGGGAGACGGAGCCAGCGGGGAGAAACAGTCCTGGCCCCCACGCTGCCCCCCTTCAATTCTGCTTCGTGTCTTTGTTCTTGTTCTGAAACTTCTGGTGGACGACACGGAGGGTGGTGAAGAAGTTGCCCAGGAAGAGGATGAGGAAGGGGATGCCGCACATGAGGACCTGCAGGAGCCGCAGGGGCACGAGTCAGCAGGAGGGGCCTCCTGGGGCACCCCCCTCCCCAGGGCAGCTGCCTGGGAGCCCCCTTACCTGCCACTCCTTGCATTCCGGGTGCTGGATCATGCGGAAGAGGGTGATGGCGTTGTAGAGCTGCCAGAACTGCAGGAGAGAGGAGATTTAGGGCAGTTTCTGCTTTCAGAGGCTCAACCCCATGCTGTGACGCTCATCCAGCCGCCCCCTCTGGGCACAAACCCCAAACCCACCCCCCCCCACCCCGCAGACCTCGCCTGAAGCCAGCCTGCCCCAGCACGCAGTGAAATTCCATCAATCATGGGGCCAGAGGACTCGTCTCCCCCTTTCTTGCCACCTTCTGGAGCCCAGTATCCAGGAGGAAGCCTCAGACCACTTTTAGCCAGTGGCCTAAATGATCTGACCAGGGAAGAACTGGACTTGCAGCAGCAGCTCAGGGCGGGTTTTGGAAGGGTTCTCAGAGCCAGCACCTCTGCTGTACTCTGCACATCACTTGAGCGCTTGGCAGAACTACCAGCAGCTCCCCCAGGTCCTCCCCATCTCACTAGATGGGTCACACAGGTGGGTGCTTTGGGGGAAAAAAGGCTCAGCATTTCCTGAAAGCATTTCCCTGTATCGCATGGCTGCAGCAGCCTGCGGGGACCTGGGTGATGTCCGGGCTGCCCAGCACACGATCTGCTCCCACCCGAGGCTCTGGCCTCTTGCAGGTCCCCGCCGGGATCACTGCCCACTCACCTGCCCGAAGAAGAGGAAGGGAAGCAGGAACGTGAGGCCTCTCCACATCCAGGACTGGAAGCCCTCTGCAAAGGATGAAGGTTTGCGTGGGGACCCCGGAGCATGTTCGCTGGGGGGACCGGCCGGAGCCCAGCGCCCGAGGTGGTGGGCATGGGGGTTTAGTGGCCACCCCGTGCCTGGCTGAGAAGGTCCCGCCAGGCTAAGGCGGCCTCGCCGTGGGCACCTGTACTCGCAGGGAGGGCTGCGGCAGGGATCCCTCCCGCTGACTGAGCACAGGCTTCTGGTGAAGCTGCTCCGGTAGAGCCGCCCTCGCCCCCCAGCAGCCGCCCCTCAGCCCGAGCACTCGGTGCCGCAGGGGCCGGGGAGGCAGCCCGCAAGTACGTTGGGTGTTGGAGGGACGTTTCCTATCTGCGGGAGCTTCCTGGGGAAAGCTTGGATGCCAGGAGCCATATCCACTGCTACCTCGCATCCCGAGAGAGCCAGCTGTGGGCCGGTGGCCCCAGGAGAGCAGGAAGAGGGGGGCACCCAGCCTGCGGGACGCTGCTGCCTCACGGGAGATGCTGCTCTCAGAGCTTTGGCTTCCTTTGTAGCTTTTACCACTACTGCCACTGATTAACCAACAAACTTGGAACGAAAATAATTGTCACCATTGCCCTTAACAGAAACCACAGTTCCCAGTTAGCGGGGTGCTGGGAGGGAGGCTGCGGGCAGCCGTGGGCCCTGCAGCAACGGGAGGTCCAGTTGGACTGGGAGAAGCAGTAAGAGAAGATCCCGGCTTACCCACGGTCAGATCCATGTTGTGCCTCTCCCCCAGCGCTCGCAGCCGGTACAAGCACCCGCTCTGATAGTAGTACTGGAGGAACTGCACAAAGCCTGCAAGGAGAGCGTGGTCAGCACAGGCATCAGCTCTGAGACGACTCTGCACACAAAGACCAGCCCAGCGCCGGGGCAGCAGAGCGCAGGACAGAGGCCAAGGGGAAACCCGGGTGAGCTGAGAGCTGTGAGAAGCTACAGCCACGTCTCCACGTGTCGTGGAGCCGGGCAGGCAGCTCAGCACCCAAGGTCCCAGCCCCCTGCCCCAGCACACGTGGCAGCACTTACTCTGGTACATGGAGAAGGAGAGGAACTGGTTCCTGAACATCTGGTACATGAGCCCGTCCGGCCTGCGGAGAGATGGTGCTGGCTGGGGGAGGTGGGGCTGCGAGGGGCCGCAGCCAGGGTAAGGGCACCGCCGCCTCGCCCCGGCTCCCACCAAAACGGAGGGGCACCCCAGCTCAGGCACCGTGTCACCACACCTCAGGTTTCCCGGCCCGGGGGCCCCGCCTGCTGCACAGAGGTGCCGGTGGCTGCTTTGTTTTCGGGCGCCTGGGCCCGGCGAGGAAGGCACGGAGTTGACTGTTAGACCACAACATCCACAGAGCAGGACTACAGCCACGGGTTAGGGCAGCAAAGGCCCCTTCACCTGAGCTGGCCACAGCCCACGCAGCACCCCCCCCGCCCCCCCCGAGGTGGGGGATGCAGACTTACCATGTCAGCATGACACCGGAGAGGAAGGTGGAGATGTAGTGATGGAAAACCCACCAGCCTTTGATTCTGGAAGGCAGACACAGAGAAGGGGCGTCAGCTCTTGAGCATGAATCAAGACCCAAACAAGGGAAGAGGAGAGCTGAGCCAGCGCGGCGCCAGCCACTCTCCAGCTCCCAGGGCCAGGCGAGGAGCAGGGCTGGTTAGGAAAGGGCCGTGCGTGGAGCAGGACCCAGCGCCCGGGGCCCTTCCAACCGCTGCTCCACCCTCCCACCCCGCCTCGGCACGGGGAGTTCCTCCCGCCCCGCTCCTCCAGCTCATCACCAGCGGTTGCTACACAGCCCGAGTAGGAGGGAGCTGCTCCCGGGGGAAGCGCAGAGCTACGCAGTGGGTCCCAACTCCCCAACCTTGTAGAGAAGGACCAACCCGCTGCAGGCCCCCCCTCCCCGATCCCAAGGGACTCACTTGGATCCGTTGTTGATCAAGATGCCCTCCCGGATGGTGAGGGTGCAGTAGTACCACACCAGGAGGAAGTTAAAGACAGCATCTGTGACCCTGGTGGGAAACAAAGCGGGTGTAAAGGCAGCTGCAGAGCCACTGCCCAGGCACTGAAGGCACAGGCGCCGAGAGCTGTCACTGCAGGATGCCCACCCACCCACTGCAGGATGCTTCTCCACCACCCTCCGTGGCCAGGATCTCCCGTTCAGCTCTGGACCTTTCAGGATGGGTGAGGAGAACATCTCCACCCAGCCCCTCACAGGGAGCATCCAAGCCAGACTCACCTGGAGTTAAGAAGGAACCGACAAGAGAAGGAGACAATGAGTAAGATGATGGTGAGGTAGAGCTTGAACTTCTCGTACTCATCTTTATATGCGAACCTGCAGGGGAAACACAAGGACAGGCTTGGAGCAAGGTGGCCACTGGACGTCTGTGTCCTCCCACCCCACCTGCCTGGACAAAAGTGATGTTCTGTTGGGATCCTCTGGGACACGCTCAGGAAAAAACTTGTCCCCAGGGTATTTCTGAGAGGAGAGCACACCGGCTGCTTTCAGGCAGGTGAGATGGCTTCAAGGCACCCCCAGCCACATCAGCCTGGCAGGCAGCCCAGCACACTCCGGGAAGCTGGGCAGACTGGTGTCTGCTCAGCTCTTGAAGGGAAGGGAGGGCCTGGGGAACTGAGAGGGAGACGGGGGCTCCTGGCTGGGCGCCTCTGGCATTAGTGTCCCAGCACGGGGAGGGCTCTAGTGGGCCAAAACCAGTCACTGGTATTTCCCAAGGGAAGAGGAGGGGCCTCGCCAGTGGCCGCACAGGCCTGTCTCTCCTGGAAGTCCCTAACATGGGGGAAACACGGACAAGGCTTCGGTGGAGGATGCTGTTTAGCTCGTCAGAGCTAACAGTCCATCCCAGTCCGGTGGCAGGAGTGTAAGGAGTTGACTCATTCTGGGAAAGGAAGCAGGGGACAGCCCGGGAAGGGAATCTGCACCAGGCAGGTTAAGCCAGCCACGGGTCTGCACGTGCAGCAGCTCAGCCCGGAGAGGAGCTGGTGTTTCCTGGTGACAAAGGGATCCCAAGCCAGGCAAAGCACAGGGCAGCAGCGACGGGGAGGGCCGTACTTGGCCTGCTTGCTGAGCAGCGTGACGTTCACGTTCCCGAGCACCAGACTCAGGTACAACCTGGGGAGAGAGCAGAGGCGTTAGGCCGGGCGCGGGCGGGAGCTGGCAGCGTGGCTGCGGAGGCGAGGCAGGGCTGTCCCCTCCCGCGCCACCGCCGAGGCCGCGGGGCCGGGAGCGAGCCCCCAGCTGTTTTCCACTCGGAGCTGCCAGATAGCGTGACTGGCACAAACGCTCTGGCATCTCCTGCCAAGGGCAGCCAAGCACACACCCCACCTCCCGCGGGCACCGGGGGGGGTGTGTGTGTGCCGGGGTTCTACCCCCCCTCCAGCCACAGTTCAAGGGCAGGTGAAGGCCACGAGCGGGCAGGGGAGCGAGGGGGGTGAGGGCAGCGCTGCAGAGGCTCAGCCTGGCGCCTGCCCAGGCGTCCTCCCGGGAGCCCGAGCAGAGCAGCGCGGCGGTGACGCTGCCGGGAGCAGGGGGGACGGCAGCTTTGTGCCTTGTGGCGTTACCGCCGCAGGGACGTGGAGGGAGGACTTGGTGTTTCACCCCGAGACGAGGCACCGCTTACCCGTTCTTCTTTGGCAGATAGGCCTCCATCTCAAAGAAAACGTTCTGCCTCTCTTTTATTAGGCTCTGGGTCTCTTGGATGGACTCCTCCTGTTCGGGGCTCACGTCGGCTTTGCATCTGGGGAGGAAACACAGGCGCTGGCATCGGGAGAGCCCCTGTAACACAATCAGCACGTGCTGGCACTCGAAACACGACTGTCTGAGGCAAGGACACCCCAAGGACAGGGAAGACGGAGGCAAGCCCATGTCTCCATCTGCAGGGTGAGCTCCTCTGTCAGGCTGGGATGTCACTGGAGCCAAGGAAGCAGGAGCGAGAGCGAGGTGAGGGCAGATGGGTCTTCTCGCCCTCGAGGAAGGATGGAGCGAGCTTTGTGCAGGAGGGGGCTGTTCAAGTTACCTGTAAAGTCCCTGCAAGCTCTGAACTGCAAACAAGGCACAAATCAGGGCAGAGGAAAGGGAAGCTGAGGGAGATCTGCCTGGGTGAGTCCAGACCTCCACAGCACTTTGCTATCAGTGAGGCTGCTGCAAGATTTGTATCGGAGAGCTGTGAGATCAGTTCAGTAGCCCTGTCCTGGCTGCTCTCCCCTCCCATCCCACGCCATCACAGGACACCAACTTACTTTTTGAGGGACAATGACAGCTCCTTCAGCCGCTTCTTCTGCCGTGCGATGGAGCTGGAGATCCCGTCCTGGAGCTTGGTTAGCTCCTCGAGTTTCTGCTTGTACAGCTTGTGATTATCCTGGGAAGGAGAGACAAGCATGCGTTACAGCTGCCTGCCCAGCCATCCCCTGCCCTTGGGCCACCTGCGGGGGCATCTGTTCAAAACTGTCTTTAGCTTCTCCTGCACAGCAGCTGGGTAAGATGGAAGGTGGGTAGAAACCGCAGGCAGAAGGGCAGGCGTGCGCGGGGACAGCCTGCAGCCATCCCCTGCCTCTGTGGGGGCAGAAGCAGGCGCTGGGGACACCCAGCCCCGATCCCAAGGAAGTTATGTACAGGCGCAGGCACATCCGCCCGGCACAGCCCGGTCCGGCCCCCGCACGCAGCTGGAGCCCGGCCCCCCTCCAGCTGCAGGTTGTGAAAGTCCAGCCAGCAACGCAGTCCCGCTCTGGGGACACTCCCGGGGCTGGGAAACCACCGGCTGCGGCACAGGGCAGAGGAGAGACTCGGAAAAAAAACGCTGCTGGGGTGAGGGCTACAACGGAGGGCCGCGGCCAGCCGGGAGCGGTGGCTTGGCTGGGGTGGGACGCGTGGCTCGCTCTGCCTGGAGGTTGGTGCAGGATCTGCCGCTGCCCCAAGCCGGGGCTCCATCCCAAGCACCCCCCAGGGAGGGGGGAAGGAGCCCCTCAACGAGCCGGACAAAGAGGACGGACTCGCAGCAGGGCTGCGGGCAGCGGCCCGGCTCCTCGTGCGGCAGTAACCCAACCGCACCTGGGTAAGGCGAGATGCCATTCTTCTGCTATATTTAGAGAGGAAAGGAGAGAGCCTGCTGGATCAATGCTCCTTCTGCCCAGGTCAGCTGGAAAACAGCCTCACCTCGACCCCGGGGCAGCCTGAACGCCACCACCAGGGAATTAAATGCTGCTCACAACAACCCTCGGATCAGGATGTCAGACGAGACCTTGACACACACACACACACACATTTTAGCCTCCATAGCTCTTATCGAGCACTTTATCAGCAGATCTCAAAGCTGTTCCCAAAGGAGAAAGGTGAAACTGAGACGCAGAGGAAGGAAACAACTCCTTTTCCCTCTGGTTTCAAGCAGGGTGGGAACAGATCCCAGAGAGCCCCGGCTCCCCCAGCAGTGATTTATGTCCCCGATCCCTCACGGGATATTCCCTGCTCAACCATCACACCTTCCTGCTCCCATCTGGCACCACCTCCTTCTCATGCTCTGGAGTTAACTGGGAGCAAGTGGCTTTTGTAACAACTCCTTTTGCTGTGCCAGCACCGCGCTTGGAGACAGCCTGGAGAAGGTTCCCAAAGGAACGGGCCGGCATGGCGCGGCCACACGCAGGGTTCAAAGCGGGTGACCCGGGACATCCATGCCAGTCCTGTGGAGCAAGAGGAAGTTTCTCAAAAGCCTCCCTTGCCCCAGATCTGGGCACAGCTGCAACGTGTCCTCAACAACATCCGCTGCACCCCTGCTCAAGGAAGGAGAAGGGAAAAGGGAACTGGTGCAGATGCAGCTGATTGAGCTGAACTTCAGCAGAAGACAGTTAGCCAACCTTTGCCTCGGGTGGCCCCTGGCTGAGCTGAACCCTGCCCGCTCCTTCCCTCGGCAGCGAGCACCCTGGGGGTTACAAAGTGGGTGGAAACACCCCCGACGCCTGTCCCCTTCCCGGCAGCGAGCCCCCCGCGGGTTTCGGGGCCCGGGAGGGAGGGTGTCCGGGGCCGGCGGGTTGCACCGTGACCGGTGGTCCTGGCCTCTCCGGCGAGGCTTACCGGAGCGATAAGGAGCGGGGGGAGCAGCACCCGCACGCCCCGTTCCCGGCCGTGCCAGTCCAGCCAGCGCCGCTCCCAGCCTTCCAAACCCGGAGACGTCGCGTCTCCGCGTCCCGGACACCGAGACCGCCCAGCTCCACCCCCCCCCCCCCCCGGCCCAGGCAGGGCTCCTCGGCGGGGACCCCCCCGCCCCGCTCCAAATCCCCTTCCCCAGGAGCAGAGGGGCTCAGGCTGGGAGCCCCGCCGTGCTCCCGCCCAACCGGCGCCCCGGCAGAGGTTAACGATCTTCCCTCCCCCTCCCCACCCCCGGTGCTCCGGGGGCGAGGCGAGCCCTGGCGCCACCGCGGCCCCGACCGGTGGTTGCCCAACCGCTGCTGGCGGAGGTCGCCTGCCCCCCCCAGGCCGGTGTTGGGGGGGGGGGTGTCTCCCGGTGCGCGGCTGCCCGGCGGCCGGTACCTGGATGCGCTGGTAGCCGTCCTGCAGCTCCTCCCACTCCCGCAGGCACTCGGCGGCCATGGCGGCGGCGAACGGGAACGGGAACGGGAACGGGAACGGGAACGGGAACGGGAACGGGAACGGGAACGAGCCCGACCCGCGGCGATGGGCGCCCGCCGCGCTTCCGCGCACGGCCCGCCGGGGGCGGGGCGGGGGGCGTGGCCAGCACGGGGGGGCGTGGCCATCGAGGGGCGTGGCCAGCGGCGGGGGAGCGGCTGGTTTTCCCCTGGAATAAGAAGCAACAACGAAATATATATATTAATATTTATATATATATTTATATATATTAATATTAATATTTATATATATAAAATGGAATAAGCAGCAGCAGCACCACCACAAAAAAAAAATATATATAAATCTTCCCTGGGCGCGCAGGGCTCTGAAGTTCCGAGGGCCGGTCCGCTGTCAGCTCAGGCGGTTCTGGGTGTAAATCCAGCAGCAGAACGGTGAAGGCTGGCGAGCTCCAGCCCGGACCGCACATATTTGAATCACAAACCGGGGGTGGGGAGGATGAGTTAAAATGGAAACCCCCCCCCCGTAAATCCTTAGCACAGAGCGCAAAGAAAGCCCAGGAGCGTTTTCTGTAACGTTTGGCTTTATTTTGCGACTGCAAAGAATTCACAGTGCAGTTTCCCGGAACAGGATTGATGCTTCAAAATGACCAGCCTCGGCAAGAGGTTCGGTTGGTCTATTAGAAGGTGGCAAGTGGGAAGCGTGGTCTTGCCAGACAATCCAACCAGTGAGTCTGCAAGAGGCTGCGTCCGTGCCTGCGGGTAGCTGAGAAGGCGCACGCAGAGCCGAGGGACTTCTGAAATTGGGAAATTCTGTCATCACCTCTCTGGGCTGGAATTGGGCACAGTCAGACTCTAGATATACCATCCCAGGCTATGGGTCGATGAACATTTTCAGAGATAACCCTAATGAACTCCCCATACCTGGTGTAAGGAGCATGCCTGACTATGTGGCTATAATCCCTTTAGCTCACAGAAGACACGAGCAGTGCGTAATGGGCCACATCCTGCAGTTCCCCAAACTGCCACCACCTTCTACAGCACAGATGAGTTCCCCACATGGCTCCAAAACGTGACCCAAAATAATATGGAGCTAAAGATGAAAGCCTGTCCATCACATTAAGAGATTTTCTCAATCAGAGTTCAAGGAACTCTCTGCTGATGTGGTGGTAGGGCCAGGGAAGTGACCTTCCCTGCTGGGTGTGCTCTTTGCTACCTGTCAGTAATTTGGTTCAGAGATGTCTGTGATCGTGGTCCCGTAGATTTGGGCCTCCCAGTCTGAGAGCTGTTTCACAAAGCCCCGGTGTGGTCTCATGTTCATTTTGCATTTCAGAACGTAGTCCCAAGCTCTCTGTAACCACAAGGAAAGCAGAGGGGTGTTAGGAATCTGAACTGGAAGTGAATCTCGGGTCTGGACACGAAGCAGCTACACTTGTAGACACCACAGCTTTGTATTTATTCCCTGTGTTAGACAGCAAGGACCTGCAGGTAAGACTTTGGCTACCAAAGCAGGGACAGACTGGATCCAGATGTGAGCTTCAGAGAAGCCTGTCACCTTCATACTCTGCTCTCCTGGATATGAGGACAGCTCAGGCTGCTTCCACTACCTGGAAGCTATCTTGCATTATTTTACACCAATGGAGCAACACAGTCCTGGATTTTTACCCTAACATGCTGTTTCTTCCATGGATGATAAGCAAAGCAGTTCTTCACAGGTAACCAGCAAAGGTTATCATGTTTCTGGATTGGTGTGACCTGTTCTGGCAGAGCAGCTTTGAAGCCCCAGTTATCCCACTGCATTAATTACAGCCATCTTAATTATTTGTTAGTTCCATGTAATCAGCTAGGAACTCTGCTACACACAGGGCAGATACACCGGCATTACTCCACTCTGCTCCTTGGGTTTACCCAGCAGTGCTCATCTTCCCACTTTTAAAATCGACTGCTCCCAGCACTCGGAGGATTGCTTAAGCATAATGAGACCAAAGGTTAGAAGATAGTGCTCCACTGGTTTGCTTTTCTAATCTCAGTGATTCTGCAGGCTCCAAGGCTGATCTTCCAATATTTACTCCTCTGGGCCCACAGTGTGGATGCCTCTAGTTCCCCTGAACTCAGTAGATCGACTCACATATCGATTACTAATAGAATAAGGGGCTGCACATCCCAAATCTGCCTTTCCTTTGCAATATCCATGTCTTCTGAAGGTTTGAAAGATCTTTGCCTAGATTGGCTGAAGGATCACACGGGAGTCTGTTGCACTGCTTTTGTCTGCAAGAAACAAACTGATCTGCCAGGCTAATCCCCCAGGAAAGCTTTGCTCAGCCAACAGTGGGCAAGCACTGCCCAGGCGAGCCGCGGCATGCCACTGCCCTGTCAACTTTCTCCTCATCTTTTTTTTGGCACTTAGTAAAATGCTGAGACCAACCTGTTGATACCAGCTGAGAGAAACTGCAGGGATCAGCCTTTGACTTTTGCACTGCCGTTGCAAGCCTCTCTGGTAACTGAGCGTGCAAGCGAATGGTTATTGGTGTGCAGGAGCAATCACACCCAGCATCGGTAGCAGAGGCAGAGATGAAATAGTGTCTGCAGCCCTGTTGGCAGGCTCAACCTGAAATTACCCGTTGGCACACAGCGATGGCAAGAGATTTCCTCTTATGTTGCAAATGTTTGCACAAAATCAATTAAATGATTAGATACAGGCCCAGCGTCAGCGAAGCTTGGATCAATCTTTTCGAGCTCCCAAGGGAGCAAAGGCTTTCCAAAGGAGGACAAGATTTTTAAGGAGATGCCTTTCAGTTCCCATGGGAACTAGCCTGCTCTGTGCCAAGCAGGTACCACGAGATGGTGCCTACGGCAGCACGATGCCCGTGCGTTGTACGCCAAGGGAAAAGGGCCTGGCACCTGGGCAGAGGCTGACAGGCTATTGCACAGCCAGGTTATTCTCAGCTGTCATTCATTATTTTTCTTATGTTATTCAGAGCTATGGAACAGCATGTACGGCCTATCTAACCTGTAATCCCTCCTGGGCTAGTATTATCTCATTCCAGACTTCTCTACAGTAGTATCTGTGGGAAGGGATTGCTTCTGGAGAAATAAAACAGGATTTCAGAAAAAGTCAGTGCTGGTGCCGAAGCCAGTGGTAAATCAGAGCCCTGCAAGCACTGGGTTCTAAATTTCCCTGTAACCCCATGGTATTAAGAGATGGGATTAACTCCAGTAGCTTCCAGATACTCTCCTTCTCAGATCCAGGAGAGCAGAAATGCTAAGATCTGTATCCACTGCTTTATTTTTGTAGCCCTGTAGTTAAGGAAGGAAATACAAGAATACGACAGGTGCCAGGGTAAGGACTCACAAAATCACACCTAAGCCACCTCCTTAACAGTATAAAGAAGATGCAATCTCATACAATACAACCTGTTACATTATCAGGTGGATAGTCTGCATGAAAGCACAGATAATATCATTCTCATTACTACAGTAATGAGGCTTCAAAACCAGAAATAAACTGCAGACCCAGCCAGTATCTGCAGGAAATATGACAGTGATGTACCTTCAGGGAAAACTGGCAGGAATGCATAAGATAGGCCATGGTTACTGTGCTGCTCCGGCTTATCCCCAGGCTGGAGAACACCAGCACTGCTCCGCAATCCAGCTGATCATCTGAGTAAAGAAATGCCAATCACAAATTAGCGATCTGGGAAATCACACTTCCAATTGTACAGTCAAGCTCCAGTGCCATGACAGCTGACAGGCCAGCAGCCTGAGCGACAGGAAACCTCACGAACCCTGACAGCAGCAGATGGGCACTGCCAGCTCCCATTTCTGACAGCATTTGCCTTTCTTAAACATCTGCTGTGTTAAAACGTGGCTTTGAAGACCAGAACCAAACGACAGTGACCAGTCAATGCTGCATTACAGATCAGTGTCATCTTTATATCAGGTAACTGAAGTGGTCTACCATGACCAACCAGCTGTGGTCAGCAGCACATCACCTACTCAAACTCTTCCCAGAAAGGGTTAAAGGTATTGAAATTTCTGATGGACGCAAGCCTAACTGTTCTCCACTCAAGCTGGAGGAATCAGCTCTCAAAGTGAAGGGGACGTAGACTTCAAATCCCTTACCACTTCGTGGGAATCACCAGTAGGAAGCATGTACATGCCAGCTAGGGCGCTGGTTTTATGATGTTTTTATGATGGATACTTTTCAGTGAAAATTGCTAAGATCAGCAAGCTCATTTTCTACAAAAGCCAAGCCCAAGGATGCTGTCAGTCACTCCTAACCACATTAACCCTGCTACCTATGCCTAGAAGGTCGCATATTTTATTAATAACCTTTTGAATTCTTTTCCTCCCTCTCCAGAGCAGACAGCATGACATGTTTTTAGAATATCAGCAACTGAACTCTAGAATTCATTGCACAAAGCCTCTTATTTTACTGTTGTCGAGAGGCTGTTGGGCTTTGGTTTGGTTTGGTTTGGCTTTTTTTTCCCCAAGCACTAAACCAGTGGTTTCTAACTTATTTCCATCATGAGATACTAATTCAGTTCTAAGACTTGAGTAGAAATGACCTCACTCCAACATACCCTTGGCATAAGGATATCCATACTCCTCTCAGAGTATGTGGAGAGCTTTAAATAATCTACTCTAGGCTGCCAAGCAAACAGTTCGACTATCAAGCAAACAGTATACACTTCCACAGGAGCTACAGCTATATAAACTCTTATAGCCTGTTTTGGAAAATTCCACAACCTGATATGAGAAAGAAACTTTCTTCTGAAATACTTCTGGGAAAAAACCTGGGGCAAACTGTGGGCAAGTAAGTGGATTTCAATATTTGCATTTCAATGCATGCAAATCATGACATTTAATTCAAGACTACAAAATTATATCATCAAATATTGTTTCTTTGTTTATGTCCAGTTGTCATTTCTTATATTGTACTTGGATTATAAGGTCTGTGGGGACAGGGTGGTCTTTTGCTTCTGGGTCTGTACAACATTCAGCTCAACAGGGGCTTGGTCTGTGGCAGGTGTTATTTCATGAGTGTGATGAAAGATAACGACATGGTTTGACACCATCACAGGATGGAGCTGTGGGAGCTGTGTCTGCTGTGCTGCTGCAGACACAGAGCTGGAGAGTATGTCTTTTCTTGCCCTCTCTGATGTAATCAGCTGAAGGCATGTTTATGCTGTCCAACCTGAAAGTCTTCCTAGGTGGGTCTGCACTACAAATCACAAAGATTAGGAGCATCTTGTGGTAAGTTCTCTAATGTGTGTCACACTCTCGTTCAAATAAAGTCAAAGGGTTGTATTTCAAAGCAGAGGAATAGGAGGGAAACCTATGAAGCCCTGGCAGATATCCTGCAGCAAAGCCTTTTCAGGTCGGGTGGAAAGCTCACTATTACCAGAGAGTGAGGTATTCTTTAAAGTGAGTAGGAACATCAGAGTCAGATGCCCTGTAAAATCACCTGTGTGTCCATCAGGCTGGTTAGTAAGGCAGCTCTGGTATCCATTAGGGTGTGGGCTTGCTTGGGAGTATACTGAACTTGAACTATTACGACCCTCCTGTCTGAGCCTCCTGTTCAAGTGAATTACAGCTGCTCCGATCTAATATCCTAGAGTGAGCAAGGTCTCAGGAATTCCAGATCAGGAACAACTCACCTATAAAATGACAAACAGTGGCAAAAGAAGAAAAAAGATTTGCTTCGAGCGAATCTGGAACAGATATATGGAGGTATTTGCCGCCTTCTGCAAACCTGGAAAAGAGCACACAGCGTGACACGGACCGAGAAGCAGCTTTGAAAAAATGTGTTTGTTGGAGTCAAGCTGATAATTTTGTTTGCTGTTACATGTGTGAGTGTTTCGTCATCGTCATCATTAACATCATGATAAGGGATTTGTTATGATAAGACACCAAGATGCCTGTAACACTGAACCAGTTTTATTACTGATTTTCCATTCCACATGGTATCAGCATTGATGTCTTAACCTACAGCTTCCTTCATCTGAGAGTTCAATGAAAACAGATGAACTGAAAACAAGAGTGCCTTCACAGAGTGCACGTTGGCAGTTTTGTGAACGTAGCTCCCCAATTCACTTCATGTGGTTTTCTACAGCAGCATCCTCCTCCTTCCACCGGCTCCGAGAACTCAACTCAGAGCATTAATGGAGCAAAACACTGGTGAGGGATTTCTGAAATGTGAGAACACATCGTGAAGAGGACATGGGAAGGCCACCTAGGGCACAGAGACCTTTGGTGTTTTCCTCTGGAGCCAAAGATGTGAGAAACGTCTGCTGGTACACATGTCCTGGGATAAGTAACTGGATCTGTTACTCACTTTGTTTTGGTCACCATCTTGAGAAATGCCACTGGCTTTTTCACTGTGTGAAATGGCATTTCCAGTATGGCCTACAGACTGAGCTGAATGGCCATGGACAGCTGTAGGTAAGGAAGCAAGACCAGCAGTGTGAAACATTGGTAGTTTACTTTTACACCAATGTGTTTGTAAGATTTTGCTCTGAAAACTATTCATAGATGTAGGTTCTTCCTGAAGGATGGGGGTTTGTGGTAGCCTCAAAATGTTGAGGGCCTCCCAGTCCTCCTCTCACCCAATCCACCCATGTCATGGTCAAGGGCTGCAGGATGGCATTGCTGCTGTGCTAACTCTGGAGTAGAGATTGGAAAAATGAGCATGAAATAGCACCTGCATGTGCAGAGGTTTGATCCAAACAGAGGTTTCCTTGGGACTTCACAGGCTCTGCGAATGGGCTCTGGTGCTGTGCCACCCCACTTTTTTCACAAGCACAGACACTGGTGAGGATACACCTTGAACTATTTAACTTACAATGTGGTGGGCTGTTCAGAGATGTTGACTTGTGCTTTGATCTTCAGATCTTTCTGAATTTGTTGGTCACAGGCCTGCTTGAAATTGCCCATATATAACTTTGCAGGCAGTATTTCTACAGGGTATAGCTGGAAGTTGTCTAGTTCCTGCCAGAGAGAAACCATAGCCTCAGTTTAGAGTGTGTTTGCTCCTATTAGCTCAGTAAGTTCTTAAACAGAAGTCATGTGAAGAATTGAACACACACTTAGTCAACAGCCCATGACACATTCTAGTGTAATGATTCATTCAATCACCTGGACTTTATGCACACTGAAGTCTTTGCTAGATTTACTGAGAATAATTAACAGCATTGCTGTCATTGTGGCATTACTTGAAACAAATCCTAACTAAACAGGAGGTGTCATATATTCTTTACATTGTCTGGAGGGACTGCAGCATAACAGATTAATTGGATGTTCTCCCCAGTTACTGGCTGCAAGGCTAAATGAAATCATCTGCCACCTGCAGAGCTGCAGGTGCCCCGTAGTGGCACAACACGAGTCCGCAGCTGCTTCCAGTGCCTGCAGTGTGAAGGCTGACAATAAAAATGCACAAGTAGCTGACAGTGCTTCTACATCCCTAATTGATACTTGGCTAATGCTGCAGCAGAACAAAGCAGCAGCCTGACCATTTCAAGCAACAGAGAACAACAGCTTAAACAGAGAGGCAAGGAGGTGCTCTGTGTCCACTTGAATCTGATGGGGAAGTTCAGCAGTTTGCTACCCTTCACAAAAAAGCACAAAGTGAATTGATATTCTCTCCTGCGCTGTCGCATCCCACAGGTTAGCACGGTGTCATGGGATATTTCACCTGAAGCAGAAGTGCAGAGCTACAATGGAAACAAAAACCATGTTGCGATGAGATGCTCTCTGCTGTCCAGCACCCTCTAAATCTGCCTGCCTCAGGTCCTGTCCTGGATGTGAAAAAAGGGTAGTTGTTTCTCATAAGATAAATAGATCAACGTTTGTAAGTGAAACCAAACCACTGGGATCCCAGTGTTCCAGCAGATGGCTGTTTTCTTCCTGGGGCTGTTGAAACAATGTACCAGCACTTGCTTTGTGATCCTTCCTGATGAAAAGCTTTATAGACATGGAACCCCGGGCTTGATAGGAATTGTACTTCTGTCTGAAAACATTTACTGTGTACCATCCCAGATAACCAGGTGTGAGAATGGAACCTGCTTCTTTTTGTCATCTGCTACTGTTTGTTTAGTTATCTGTACTCTTCAGTAGGCCAGTTTCGGGGTTATCAGAGAAACCTTCCCAGGTTGTTTTCATGAGCTTTCTTTCACGCAATAGAAGAGGAAAAAAAGGCAAAGTGTGGCTGTAAAAGAATTAGTGGTGAGGCTTAGGGCAAGCACAGTAACTCAGATTACATTTAATTCCTTTGTTTGAAATTACTGATATCCGGTTTACAACACCATTTAACTTCAATTCATTAGTCATCATCAGTTGAATATGAATGCTAATGTCTTCTACTTGCAAATTAGTCTCATCTCACCTGAGGCATCCACAATATCTTCTGAGTCCTCAGAAAATGATAGCAAGCTGAAAAACGCTTGTATCCTCCCCTCAGGATGAGCACAGGATGGCGGGTGAACTGCTGTAAGCTTCTGGCATAGTGGACAGCAGTTCCTTCTTCAGCATCTAATGAGATCAAAAAGCTATTTGCCAGGGCAGGTTTAGAGTGGCTCCATCAGCACTGGAGGTGACATCTGTCTCACTGACACCAACAGTAAATTCCTTTTTATTTCGTCTAATGGTCTGCAGAAAGCCTTGTTAAAAGCTAGGCTTATTCTTTAACTGTTGCTGCAGGTCAGGAACAGGGCACGCTGCTTTTCACCTCTTGCCCTGATCTTCGATTCCTCCCCTGGTTTCTTTTGTAGGTCTAGATAAAGTTTTTTTCCCGTCCCCATTGTTCTTTGTGAAGTGCTTGTAATAAGTTCCCATAATAAGGAAATATTATCAATTAAAATGTAATAATCTTAGTTTTATGGAGGCCCTTTTCTTTAGTCTGCTTTCCACCTTTAGGCAAAGGGGAAAAAAAGGAGGTATCTTGAATAAATTCTTCACAAGTGTTTTAAGCACTCCCCTCAGTGAAGTAAATTATGTGAGATGGCTGCTCCCCCTCCTTCTCTCAAGGGACTCATACCACTTGCCTCTAGCTATGTGTGCTTTAGAAATACATCAGCACAATAGAAGCCCACTTCTGATTCTCCACACTTTCCCTTGCTACTGTCTAATCACTGAGCATTTATGAACATGCTTGCTTTATTCACTCCTCTCACACTCCTGAAATTTTTTTCTTTAGAAAACGATGCAAATCTTTGCTAAAACTGTAGTAGCGTTTATAAAGCTAACAGGAGACAAACAAACATACAGCAGTTGTTCTGCACACAGCAGAACTCCTTACCAAAGGATGCGTGAAAGCTAAACATTTCCATGGTTCAAGGAAGACTGAACAATTACATGGAAAAGTTTCCAGCTCTTCACATTTCTCGGTGAACTCCATCAAATCACCACCTCCATTAAAGCTAAGTCTTTATAAATATGATAATGTTTATAAAGACTTAGCTTTATAAACCTTTTAGCCTTTTATAACTCCCAAATAAGGAAGTACTCACTCTGTGAACATATGGAACTTGAGCCAGTGTTTTCAGTCTTTAGAGAAGTACTGCTCCCTAAAATGCAATCATTGGACAAGCCCAATCTCAGTGAAATGTGGAAAAAAAAAAAGAACCCATTCCTCACATGTGACAAGGAGCTTCAGAGACACCAGTCCATACCTAGGAAACCAGGTCTGCCAGGACACTTTGAAATAAAATCTGGATTTTTGAAGCCTAAGAACATATGCAACAAAGTGAAAAATCAGAGGCATAGCACAGTTGTTAGTTTTTCAAATAAAACTGGGTAAATTTGCATCTCTTCCAATCAGCTCGTAAAATTAAATGAGGAATGGGGAGAATAGCTATCCGGCAGTGAGGTCTTGACTCACATGGGTCACACATACCTTCTTCTTTCTCCTCTTCCTCAAAGTCACAGCAATCCAAAGAGCTGGTCTCGCAGTCATATACCACACAGTACCTGACACACCCCAGCTCCTCTGAATCCGGTACCAGATACTCCCCTGTAGGACTCTACCAAAATCACAGAGGAATTTTATCAGGAGCACAGCTCCACTCTTTTCTTGTGGCATCAACACTAGTGACACCTTGCAAGTTACTACTCTGTAGCTACGGGATGGTTCTGGGGCTACAGCTGTACTTGATGCTGAAAGACCCGTTTAGAATTCAGAAATGATGCAAACTGCGCCGGACTGCTTCGTCAGCCGCAGCGGCAAAGGTGCCAGCACTGCCCTTTGTGAGACAAGGCTACAGTATGTTAGTTCTTGTGCAATATTCTTCCCGATGTACAGGTCCTATGTGCCAATCCTTTGGGCCGCTGAAGCCACCTCTGCTTTGTGACAGAACACATCCTCCCAGCGGCAGGGAGGGAATATGGCTGAGGGCAGCAGGGGAGAGGCCAGGACAATTCCTGTGGGTTTTAAGCCAATTTTGGCCTACTGCTAATTGCTATGTCCAGGGATGGTTCACACAAACAGTAATCCCCCCTCACCTCTTCAATCCTGCGGGCTGTAATAATATGGCTCTCATCATATTCACGCTGAGTACGAGCATCTGAAAAAAAAAAAAAACAAAAAACAACCAAGACAGAGCAACTGCCTTATTTGATACTTGAAAGGTAGAATCCTGCTCACAATTCAGTCAGTGGGAATTGAGGCACTGACATCAACCAGAGAAAGAGATTTAACAGTAAGCCAAAACATTTAATATTTAATAATATGAGGCAGGCTTTTTGGGGGTGCTGGCGCGACGCCAGCTACATCAGCAATCTTTGTGCGACGCCCGAGAGATGCGGCCCACCCCGAAAGCCTCCGAGAGGCGCCGGGGAGAGGGCGCATCCCCGGGAGGGAGCGGAGCGGGAAGAGCTGGCCGGGGGGAGAGCCAGGGCAGTGTTGGGTCACGGCGCCGGCGGTGGGATGGGAGGAAGGCCCCGGCAAGGACCGGGAGGAAGGGGTGCTGCTGCCGGCGGGCCGCGGCGCAGAGGCGCCGGTTCCCGCGGGAGGCCGCGCAGGCCGCGGCGCGGGGCTCACCCAGCAGGCACAGGTAGCGGGGCTCGGCCAGGCGCGGGAGCCGCCGGTGCTGGTTGAGGAGGTTGTAGAGGCGGCAGGGCTCGCAGAGCGCCACCCCCGCCATCGCCGCCTGTCGCGACAGCCCGCCTCGCCCGGTTGCCGCGGCAACGGCGGAGCGCGGCCCGCCCGCCCCGCCCCCGGTTGCTAAGGAGGGGGCGGTGTGAGACCCAGATCTCGCGAGGCTTTCCCCCGCCCGCGCGCCCGCCCCGCCGCAGGGAAGTCTCGCGAGACTTGCGGGCGGCTCCGCGCAGGCGCCGTGCCCGTGGAGGTCGTTGGAGTGACCGCCGCCGCCATGCTGTCCCGCCTCGCCCGCCCCGCCGCCGCGCTGCGCCGGGGCCTCGCCACCACCGCCCAGGTACGGCCCGTCGCCACCCTCCCCTCTGCCAGGGGCCCGCCGGGGTTGGGGGGGGGGTTGAGGGCGTCTGCGGCCGGCGGTGCCGCCGCCCGGGGCGGGGGGAGCGCGGCCCAGGGGGCGCGGGGTGGCTGGGGGGTCTCCGCCGGGCCCAGCGGCCTCCCCGCAGGCGGGCGCCGAAATCTGAGCGCGGCTGTGGGCTCTAGGTGAAGCTGCTCCTTCTGGCGGTATGTAACGGGTGCTGGCATCCTGCTTCCTTCCCCCGCTGGAGCCGTGCCCCTGCTTTCAAAATATATCAGGGTTTAGAGCTGCTGGTGGGGGGTTTAACGGTAATTCTTAATATGCTGAAATCCGTTCTGCGTGATTCTTGGTACCAGGAGTGGGCTGCTGCTACGTGGTAGGTAGAGACTAACCTCTATCTTCGAACATAAATAGCTCCCAGTAGCGTATGACAGAACGATTATTGTAGCTATAAAGATGTGCTGTACAAGAGAGGCTTGTGTAATTATTTTGATAGGAATTATGTTATCAGTGAGGTTCCGACCTCATGGTATCAGCTCAGTCATAAATGTGGAGCATAGTAGTGACTAATGCTAGACTTTGCTTCCCCTTGGAGAGTTTTATGCTAAATTACATTTGTTGCAATAGCAGGAAAGCTGAGCTGTGGATAGGCTGACCTAGCTCCTGGGTAGATTATTTCGTATCATAGCATAATAATAATTAAGCTGTTCATGCAGGGACTTGGAGCTATTATGGCTTTATCTGGTAAGACAGTGCGATAGAGAGCATCCTTAGCAGCAGTAGTTTTATTACCGTATTACATCTCTGAAGTAGCCTCTGGTTCTCTATCACTTTGGCAAAGTTGCATGTCAAGATTGTTCTGGTCTTTTAAAGTAGGTCTCATCTCATCTGGTGATGCTTTATCTACAAACAAGAGCACAGGTGTTTTTGAGAGAAATAACTTTATTCCAGTGAGCACATTAGAGTAAAATTGATTCACCAGGGCAACAAAGCAGAGTTGATTTTACTTGCTGCTCTGCCACACTTGATTAAAGCTGGAAATTATACTCAGTGTTCTCAGGCCTCAGTCTTGAGGCAGCTGCAGGTACTATTTGAATTTATTTCAGGCATATATATTTTTTTTCACATGGTTACTTTTACTGTAGTCCCTTAAATGTATTGACTTTCCAAGTGGGAAGGCATGTTTTTTTTTTTGATACTGGCAGTGAAAACTAGAAAAACTGTATAACAGATTTTGCCCTAAGTCAGACCTAGGTCCACAGGGTAGCAGGTACTAGTCTCAAGCAGATGTTTACATCTGAAGAAAGGTGATCCTTTTGGTTTCTTTGCCTGGCCATGCTTCCCTTTTGAGCTTCAGATCACAAAAGAACGTTTTCCTCTAACTTATCCTACCAATAAACCTCAAGGATCTTTGGAAGGCTGTTGTGATGACCACTGCTTTCTGTGAGCTTAGGCAATCAAGTTTACATAGTGCTTGGTAAAAATGTTGAGAAATAGAATTAAAAGTAAAGAAAGTGTGGTGAAATCCCCAAGGTCACTGCTGCAGTAACTACCGGAACATCTCTACTATGTATTTCTTTTTTCCTCAGAACAATGCCAAGGTAGCAGTGCTGGGGGCCTCAGGAGGCATTGGCCAGCCTCTCTCCCTTCTCCTGAAGAACAGCCCGCTGGTGAGCAGGCTCAGCCTTTATGATATCGCTCACACTCCAGGCGTTGCAGCTGACCTCAGCCACATCGAGACCAGAGCGAATGTTAAAGGTACTGGGAACAGCCTGTGTTGTGAAGGGCTCCTCTTGGGCAGCTCTGACACTTGGAGATGCCAGTTGCTTGTGAGGGGACTCTTCACATGATCCTGAAGCCTAGGACCAATTCAAGCAGTGTGTGACTAATTAAAGTTTACCTGATTAGATTGACAGGTATGGAGATGCAAATGGTCTGTGGTTGCACTGTTAAAGGGAAATTTGTAATAACTGGCAAGAAACACTCGGTAAAATAATCTCTGAAAGAAGCCTGAGCATTGAATTTAAAAGTTTGACTGCAAATAGACTTAATGCTCCCTGGGTGTCTGCATGAATTTTCTGTGCTTCTTTTCTGAAGGAACAGCTGTCAAGTTCTGATGAAATCAGAACTTAATCTGCTGATCTTCGTTTTACCTGAAGATCACAAAGAGGTTACATTTTACTCGAATGTGCCAACCTGCAGCTCTCTGGGAGCACTGACTGTAGTGCCAGGCTAGGGTTTTGCAGAGTAAATACACATAGTGGGAGGAACTGAGGGTTTTCAAAGCACGTAAATGTGAGATTCCCACCACTCATTCTGTGTGTTTTGAAACAAGGATAAAACATCAAATAGCATCCATCCATAGCTGTATTTCTCTGCTTTTCAGCATAAGTCTGAATTGAAGGCTAAATTAAAAAAGCAATTGGGTGCCTCTGGGCGTAATTTTGTACTTCAGAGTGTCAGATATTTAATAACTGGCAAAAACATAATGCCTGAATGTCTTCCAGGCTTCCTGGGACCTGAGCAGTTGCCAGAATGTCTGAAGGGCTGTGATGTTGTAGTTATTCCTGCTGGAGTCCCTAGAAAACCAGGTATGTTCTCTTTGTTAAAAAGCTCCAGGGCTTCACTGAAGTGTTTCTTTGCAGTACGGTTATTTGAATAAAGCTGTGTCTGGTGCTTTGCAGTTCTCTCAGTGTTGGCTCGGGATGTAAGTGGTCTGTTAATGACACTGAACTAGAGCTTGTTGTAGTATCAGGCAGCTCATTTAGCCTCTGTCTCAGATCATCCCTCAAAATGGACAGAATTGATTTCTGGAGTTCCTATGTAGGAGCGAGGTGCAAAGACTTTTCACACAAGTGATCCTGAATCTCCCTTAGTGTTCCTTGCCCAGAGCAATAGTCTAGTTAAAAAACTTGGTTCCTTGTTTAATTTCTCAGCAGAATAGAAATATTCGCGTTAATTGTATGATAACTTCCCAGGGCATTTCTGATTGCTGTTAATCTTTCTTAGAACGTCTCTGACCTGCTCCATTTTTACTCTGTTTTTCAGGATCCTATTGGGAGTGTAACAAAATTCTAGACTTTAATGCCTAGTTTTTCCTAATTCTTCATTTGTCATGGTTAAAGTAGCTGCTGCAACAGAAATAAGAGGTGTGGCACTCAGGCAACTAGCAATACTTTGCACAGAGCAGTTGACATGCAAACTGTAGCTGTGGAGGTGGTTTCAGAGGGGGAGCAGAATTCATCTTGGAAACAGTTACGCTGAGCACCACTGATATACTGGTGTGGGTCAGTGTGGTCACAGTGCACTTCAGGCTGCCTAGGTGAAATACTTTCTGACAATTGACATCTGGGCTGGCTGCTCCTGAAAAGGGATGATCTATCTGAAAGGACAGTAGTCTTTTTTTAGCGAGAGGAGTTAGCTTTGGAGCCATTTCATTACTGCAGCTGGAGAGTTTTCTCTTGATACATGAAACCAGAAGCTGATGTATCTCTGTCCAGAGCAGTGTACTTTTTTTTTGATTGGGTTGCTTGCCCATTAATGAGTAGACTATGGGTAACTTAAAATATTGTACTGGATGCATTTTAGGTATGACCCGTGATGACCTGTTCAACACCAATGCTAGCATTGTTGCTACTTTGACATCTGCCTGTGCAAAGCACTGTCCTGAAGCCATGATCTGCATTATTTCTAACCCGGTAAGCATTTTTTGGAGACCTTGAAAATGTAAAGGAAAAATAATCCAGACTAAGAATACTAATCTGTGAGTTCCTGTTAGTTTTGACCAATATCTTTAAGGTTTGCAGGGTATTTGCAGAAAAGAACTAAAAGCCTGGCTCTCCTAACCCATTTTTCTTGGGCTATATTTAAGTCAGAGAAAGCTTGGATATAAAAGTGCTTAATATCTCAACATCTGTGTGATTATGGTAATAATACATGCTGGTGGATTAGCTGGAAGAGAAGTCTTAGCTCACTAGGGGAGAAGTCCTTGTAATGTGAATGAACAAATTTGTGTTAATGGTTGTTTAAAATGGAAGATTTATTCCAGCCTGGCTGTAAATTGCTATTCAATTTAAGAATTAAAATAATTGGCCACAGTTGTCTTCAAGCTGGAAGTATACTTCTGGTTGTTTACTGGCCTATTCAGTTCATGCATTGTCTTTATTATTACAGTGGTTTTAATGAATGCTTGCCTATTCTTCCTTATAGGTAAATTCAACCATCCCAATAACTTCAGAAGTCTTCAAGAAGCATGGTGTGTATAATCCCAAGAGAATCTTTGGTGTTACAACGCTGGACATTGTCAGAGCGAATACTTTTGTGGCTGAACTAAAGGTAGGTCATAGTAACAGATGCTGGGGGAGGGATGTGGTGTGCTTTGGTCATTAGATCTATCAAAAATGCTTTTTAAATCACTGCACAGAGCCAAAAGAGCTTGGATTTCTGTGGAGCTAGAGGTGAAGGCAGTGATTCCCTGTTTCCATTCTCTGGAGGAGCCTGGGGATAGGGTTTCTTGCAAAATGTGGTTCAAGAGACTTTGACCTTTCCTTTTCATAGCTGTCCCCTGTGAGTGAGCTACATGTTCGCCTTAATTCTGTTGGCATTTTCAACCCTGCTGGTGCAACCGGAGGAGAGGGTTGAATTGTAGTGTGTATTTGCAAGTCAGACTATCTGTGCTGTGTGTTACAGGATATTCTGCAAAGTATCAGGAGGTGTAACAGGTTACTGCTCTTAATAACCCTGGCGGAGTTTGTACTTGTGCTGCTGTTTATCTGAACTTGCGTTAATAATATCCTGTAACT